AATTATTATTATTATTTAGAAATAAAATCTTTAATTACGGAACTAATAGCATATAATAAACAAATAAACTTTTTATTCCATGATGAATTACATATATTAGTGTCACGAAACCAAAACATTTTATTCTGAGCTTAATTTTTATGACAAATTTAATCAACGAATGTGATTAATTGTGTAATAGCGATGTTAAACTAGTGTCAGCAAAGCTTAAATGTTAATGAGAATATGATTTCAACGTTATTTATCACAACACAAATTTTCATAAGGTCACCTAATATTTTTACGTATTCTATTAAAATTTAACAAGGAAGGAACAGGGCATAACGAGTATTGGATAAAGAATCGTACTTTCTTCAAGTACCTAATAGCTTTACACCACACTTATGAAAAAACTATAACATAGATAGTTAGTTCGTTTACTTCTTTTGTGCACGAAGAAAGAAGTAACTGACATATTTACATTAAAGTTACTATTATTGTCGAAAGTTCTAATTATTTATTTTTATTACTATAATTTTTTTTACAACTTGAAAATTTTCTTCAATCTCATCCGCACATTTAACTATAACAAAGCAAAAATCTACTCACATTTAACAAATGTTATTAAATACTAAAAAAACCAGTATCATTTTTTATGACAAAACGAAAATGTATTTAATACTTTTTTACTGATATAACGAAGTTAATAAATTTCAATAGATTGGATACCTTTTACAGTAAATCGAAAATAAATAAAAGCAGATTATTAATAGTTATCATCGGTTTACTTTCTCATCTAGTTAAAAAAAAAGAAGGAATTAAGGATAGATAAGTCTGGGGAAGTAAATAGGTGATTCCTTCACGATTAGAAAGCACTTTTTCATCCTAATATTAGCTATATTTTACTAGTAAATTCCTACTGGGACAGAAGGTAATGGGAACTGCGATGGTTAAAATTTAAGATTACCTTCTCCTCGGTCACATATTATTAACGTGTCCAGTATGACATGACCTTGAATAGCGAACGTGTAGTGTTGTTCATATTGACAGAATATAACCGATATATATAAGCTGTAAGCTTGATTGATCGATATGCTGAAGTAGCGGACCACATAGCTTGAAGAATTGACAATCGACAGGAAAGAAATAAAAAAAGGCGATCTAGTACAGGCAAACGCAAAGTACTTATGGTGACCTCCAATAAATAGAATGACCTCGAAAATGTTTCTTTTTAACGGTTGGAAATGGAATGGTAAGCCTGCTAGTGTTAACGGTATACACTGGCGAGGCACTAGTAAGAGATAATCGCCAAGGATGAATAGACAAATCAGTGATCCCATCATGATGAATTAACTTGGAGTAAATGCAATAGTTTCTAGGGGAGACTGCGAAAAGGTCGTCTTGAACAGGTATATTACAAGCGATAGGGTTGCTAATTCCTCTGCTCTGCTCCTTGAAAATGTTGCAAGGACCAATGTAGGAGACTCTTGTTTATTGCAAAATATACACATATAATACTGAAGCTGTATATATTGTGTACCTAATGTCTGTAAGAATTATATGTATTGTAATGTATAATGCAACTGTAATAAATAAATAAAAAAATAAAATAAAAGATGCAGTGAACGAAACTAAAGTAAGATTTTCAATAGTTTAGCAAGTAACATATTAAAACACGTTACGAAATAAGTAATGGGTGTCTAAGACGTTACTTGGAGATCTCATAGAATACTTGACCTGTTACAGTTTGTATATATTGCAGCAGCTTATGATGAAACAGGCTTGGCCCATGCTATGTATTTAACTTTATAATTATAAATTTTAAAAATATATTTTTAATAAATTTTGTTCTGTAATTATTGTTAACTAGACCAAAATCTATTTTTCTTCGATAATTGAATATTTGTATATAATAAATATTATTTACTTTGCAATTTGATATAAGATAACCATTTTACCTTAAAAAAGTTAAACTTGCGATAGACACGTGTTCAATACATGTTTAGATGATTTACTACAGAAGCATTACTAACATTTGCTAATTCCTAAACAAATAAAATCTATGTTAAAAATAAAAGCTATTTAAAATAAATAAATTTTATTATAATAATCTATTGATGTTACGTATAAAATTACAAATACGCATGATTGAATTGTGACTAAACAATATTCAATCACTAAAACAGAGTTTTGTCAAACACTGCTTAGGTAAACAGTGTTTAATTTTTTTTTTTTTTGTAAGACTGAAAATGTCAAATTTTTTATTTATACATTTTAATAATTACTATTTATTTTGCAATTGGATAAAAAAATTTTAATATTACACCTTTGTCTATATGCAAAGGATCTTGTTGGTGTACATACAAACACATAGGTATTGTTGCTTAATGAGGTTTCAGGTTGATTTTTGAGTGAGTTAATTTTAGAAACGAGTTTATTCTATTGTAAATAAACGCGGATCTTGGTTGTATTATTCACTTAAAACGTGATATCAAACATTTTAAAAATATATACACACTTGAACATTATATCCATGTCATACGTAAATACTATTACAATAACAATGACAAAAACACAGTATTAGCTTCAGAATGGTCACCCTATTTGTTTACATTCCATTCAAATAAATGACTGCAATAATTTTTTATTGGGCTGCCAAGTTTGCAATTAATGGGTTGTATCTTCAAACAACTATCTCGATAACATTGTTGATAAAGCAGCAATGAGTATAATGGGCGTATATATACAGCTTCGATTTCGTCTCGTATTTGTTGGGACGTATAATCTATAAATAATAAACAGTCTATGTTTGGGAGCTCAAAGCGCGTCTTGGGTGGTCCCGGCCGCTCGCTGCAGACAGAATAAGGTCGAGATTGGTGATATCGCGTTCGCTGCTCGCTTCAATGAAATTGAAATAGATAGCGGGCAGAGATTTATCTCGCGTCAGATCAAATCTAGTGCACCGGTGCGCCTAGATATGTCGCCGCGGATGTTTTACGCACCGCGTCACCAAAGCTGTTTGACTACGAACGCAAACTGGCCAACCATTAAAGAAAATTAATATCGCCTTAATAATACACCGGTATGACTCGTTATAAAATACACAGTTATGTAGAACAGGGCGTAGATTTTGAATAATTTGCTAGATATGCAAAATGATCACGACTTTACTGTTCAAATAAGGTTTAAGTATTTTCCGTGCTTGGTAAAACAATGAACCCTACAGGGTTCTTAATATAAGATTTCTTATTTAAATTCTTTCATTTATCATAATCAATTCATTCTTTTACACAGGTACTCTCTTAGTGCAAAACCAAATATATATATATATATATATATATATATATATATATATATATATATATATATATATATATATATGTGTGTGTGTGTGTGTGTGTATATATATACCTTCTCTAAACCATTACAAAATTACTTGGTTTTTGAAACGACACATATCAAAATAAAAAAAAACATCTTATCATTTTCAATAATATATATTGACACTTTTACATTTTATTTTTCTAGAATTTATTTGATTCAAATAAAAAATAAACTGTATTTTGCAAACTAATGGTGCTTATATAGTATATATCGATAAATGAAATTAAGTACTAATACATAGTATATAATTTTTTTATATGAATATAAGTTAGAGCTAGATTAGCTTTTAAATTATTTGACATGAATAAGACAGATTTAAATTATTCATAGAAACATTCATTATTTTTTATCTCATAATATATACTTTAAAATCCTAATAAAATGTAACGATTGGAATAAACAATCTTAAATCTAAAGAATACTGAATTGAAAATTAAATAAATGTTTGCTAATTCACTATAAAGATAAAAGGTTGACATAATAGAATGCAGTATGTATTGAGTATTAAAATATAGGTAGGTTCTGTAATGTTGTAGCTCGATCTTGATGCCCAGCCTGGACCCATTATGTGTACTCCCACACACAAATATTTATTCCAAAGTTGGTACTATTAAACATAGCAGCGTCGCTTGGATCAGTAATTATTTTCTATAAACGGAAACGCCCAGGTGACAATAAAATAAACATAATATCTTGTTACTATAATGAAATCGATAGTTGCTAGTTGTAGTGTTGGACGCAAATAAGACAAAAGATTATAGTAAAATTAAGCTTTTTCTAAATAACATATTGACTCCGTTATTAGCAAATAATGGTCCAACACAGTAACAGGTAAATCCTTTTGAATTTGCTAAAATGTCATGTACCAGAGGGAAACTTTGTACAAAAGTCGTTTGCTTGGGCACCTCTGTCCCATTCGTGTTTCTACCATGAAGCAGTTGTGTTTGCATGGCTGTTGAAGGGTGGGATATGGCAGTGAATTTACAAGGTACAGAGGAACAACACCTGAGTCCTCAGGAATAGCAACGCATGGGGGTACCCCCCTCATGGGCGAAACAGTATACTCTGTTATGTCCATGGTACTGCTCATATGTCTATTGGCGATAGTTACCGTTTTCCATTAGGTGGGCCATCAGTTTGTTTGCCATTCTAAGTTGCATAAAAAAAAACAGACAAAAATACAGTCGAATAAAGAACCTTTTCGAAGTCGATTTATTATGTAGATAAAGAAGGAATGTAACTGCAGGTTTTGTTCTTAATTTATTATTAAAAATTATAAAATTACTTTATAATATGCCTTGTATTATCAACATAGACCTCTGACACGTGGTTTGCGTGTCTTTGTGTATTGACAGTTTTCATATTTTAGATTTATAAAGAGTAAAAAATAGATATCTAGTAATCCTTATAAGGTAATCTTACCCATCAATACTTGTACCTACAGACACTCACAAGAACATACATTCTTGCAACTTTAACAACCGATAATTGCGCGTCCAATTTCTAAACCAAAGGTTTCGCAATACTTCCTCGTACGCGGAGTTTGTCAGAAACTCCCTATAATTATGCGTTCTAAAGTTATTTTACGATTCCTAGACGAAGGTTGTAAGGCATTACGGCACAAAGCCTACGCTGACCTTCCAAGAAATGGGAGCACTCCAAACAATGTTTGCGGCTATTGGCGACGGTCAACCAGCAAACAGCGACCAGCGACCACCCGCGGAGCATATTGTTACTATTATCAGGCAAATTTGTAGTCGACACTTGACGCGATTATTTCAATACATGTCACATCACAATACAATTAAGTCGTCTCACCTTTTTATTACGCGACAATACGAGCTTTTGTTCATGATGTTTTTGTTATAAACTGCTTATACTTGTAGCATTGGAAGTAGGTAGGTATATAGATATTGTAAATAATAAAAAGCCGGTCGAGTGCGAGTCGGACTCGCGCAACGAGGGTTCCGTACAATATCATCAAGTTTTAATTTTTTTTGTGAAATAACTACAAATTGACGTTTTTCGGTTTTTAAACTTTACTAAAATATAGAAAAGGTTATAAAAACTTATAAATCAATATTATTTAATTCAATATAACATTAAAAAATTTAAAAATATATATATTTAAAGATAAAAAATTTCTTTAAGATCACTGCCAGCTGGTAGGGTGCCTAGGATACTTGCTGCATTTCCACGCTGAATAGCAATGGAAATGCGTTGACCAAAGTATAGGCCAGCCTTCTGGTCACCAGAGGTTTCCACCAGCCGGCGTGAGATCTCTTTGAAAAGATTCATGGCCTCGGGGCCCCACGGACCCAGAGTTTCAACTCCAAACGCCGCAAATATATATCCATTTCCAAGGGATGAATATTTACGGCGCTTGATAGACTCCTGGTGTGTTGCGGCGGCACCAGCCCTCTTGGATGTATTTTGAAGGTGAGACGGTGCCACCGTGTCGACGCAGGTGAAGTCCCATACAAGCGGACGTCCCATCCTCCAAGGTACCAAGGACATCCCGTCAGGTCTCTTGCCATCATCACGTATCAAACCAGGAGGTTCTAGAATGGCAGGCACGCCCGCGGTGACAAGAGCCCGACGGAGAATGTCATTAATAGCTGAGTGGCGCAGCAAGCGCCCAGCACTCTTAAGGCAAGATAGGCCATGGTGTCCCAAGGCACTGACGTTGTCCCCACACCTGCAGTAATGGGGAGCATTCGTTTTGGCCCCCAATCTGAGAGAGATTGAGAGTCTAAACGTTGCGTTATCCAATAATGTTCCGATATGAGGTGAGGGAATTGTGTGTAACCAAAGGCCAGATTCCCATTTGGACACCGCGAGAAGACGGGCGCTTTCAGCAGAGTTCTGGGAAGAGTCTAGTAACGAAGTTCTGTATAAATCATTAATGGGCTCATCCCATTGCCTCTGGATTTTGGGATTTATGGGAGAAGCTACGTTGGGACAAGCCAGAGACCAAGATTTTTTAGCCTCAGGCAGGTAAGCTATCTCGAAATCACCGAAAAAAGGTGTTAGTATTTTTTTCACGAGATTCTGCGTACCGTGCGCTGATGATAGAAAAGCTGGTAGGGAGATATGGGAGATTTGGCGGATTCCCAGGCCCCCATGCCTGACCGGCAAAGAGGCCTGAGTCCATATACGGTCTTCGAAAGTGATATTAAAGAGGGAGCTCAGAATGCATTTTATTTTTTCATCAAATTTTGCGGTGAGGTCTGGATATTTCCAAAAAGGTGTACTACGAAGAACTTGAGTAAAATTGGGTACAAAAAGGCAGTATCGAATAATATTATATGCGATGTGAGTGTTGATATTTAGGAGGCGGTCGGAATTTGAACAGAACTTACTAATTTTGTTTTCGACAAAGCTGGGGAAAGATTCATCAAAAATAGGTGATCCAAGGAGGTGAAGTGAACTTTCATTTAATATTTTAATATTTGGAGCCAGGGTGTTAAATTTAGAGATTACTTCATCTTTATTAGATAAACTATCCGGAATGAAAAGTTCACATTTGGAAAAATTTAGTTCAAGCCCAATATGTTCGAATTCTTGTATTAGAATATGAAGGTCATCGAATACGGTGTTTACACTTCCTCCTAGGGTACCGTCGTCTAAATACCACACATTGAATTTCGAATTTAGAAGCCGAATAATTGGGTTAATTCCTAGGCTAAAAATGGCTGGTCCCAGAGGGTCGCCCTGCTGACAACCAACAGCCGAGAGTAAAGTATTATTTAAATACATAAGTTTAGTAGGTTCGCTATAACATTGCCAAAGGAAGTTGTAAATGTGAGGAATTTTTTGTTTAATTTGAGTTAACAGGGCGTCCCTACTAAGTGAATTAAAGGCATTCTTAACATCCACCTTTAGCAAAATATCGTTGGTAGATTTGGTAATGTATGTGCGGAGAGAGTGTATGGCTGCTTCACACCCACCCTTGGAACCGAAACCGAGCTGATATGGCTCAAATTCCTTTTTCAGGTTATGTGATATGGCTTTGCAGCAGATTTTAGCAGCAAGCCGTCTGTAGGTAGTACCTATTGCTATAGGTCTAACACCGCCGTCTTTTTTGGCGAGAGCGCAAAGGTTTGCACCGTATAAAATTTCGGTTATGCTCTCATTTATTTTTCCAGAGAGCATTAGGTTTACAAGGGCTGTTAAGTCCTCCAAAAGCGAGGTGCCGGCATCGCCTGGAGTACCATATAAGAGGTCTTTAAGGTGCTGAGGAGTAAGTCCATCTAGACCACCAGCAGACCCACTGTTGAAGGACTTAACTGCATGCAAGACATCCTGGGTTGAGGCGACGATATAGATATCTGTGTTTTCGGGTGCGTCAGGAAGGTTGAGGTTGGATGGCAAAGGTGGATGTTTAGAATGTAAAGCAGCAAGTGTAGATGGGATATTAGGAGCTACAGCATCATTGGAAAAGAGGAGACGGGCCGCACTTTTGACGTCTCCGTCATGCACTTTGCGTTCAACTTTTTTATAAATACTACTTCCATTGCGAAAAGTTGGATGTTTGAGGAGGTTTGAGATCCGATCAGATTCCAGTTCCGAGCTGCAACAGTTTGATTTTAATGAACTGGTTAGGGAAAGGTTTTTACGGTCTATGTCGGCATGTAATATACGGTAAGGGAAAGTTAGTAAAAGCTCCCAGCTATGTTTCGAGTTATCTGAAACAGCAGTTTTTAGGCTTTCAGATAGTTTTTTCGCCACAGATGAACGGGCGGCTCTAGGTATTCTTTTTACAAGAGGGACAGAATGTTTTAATTGACTAAGTGTTTCATAGAAAGGCTTGTTTTGATTGTTCGAGTAGTTTAAAAATTGGGAAATAGGTTGTTCAGAATTTTGTTTATGTGTTTTACTGGCATGGATTCGGAGACCTCTCTGGCCTTTAAAAAAACGCGGCTGGGGACATATTGGGCATTGTATATCATTATCCTGTGATGCTGTAGATCCTGTGGGCTGTAATGGAACATTATTGGATAGCACATTCGTGGTTTGCTTAACGACATTCTCCATAAAAAAAGTACAAATAGAATATAAAATGCGTACGTTAAATTATTTTAAGAAATCACTTTACAGATATCTGTCCATACTATGTAAGCTGTTTTAAGTATAAAAATATAGCGTCATAAGAAAAACAGCAATTTGGCACATAAACAAATAATATAGAATGTCATTAGTGAAGTAGCTAGGAGACCGGCACACGATTTGCATTGTGATTGGTTCTTGGTAGATTGTTGTCAAAGCAGCTTGCAGTTACCGGGGCGACAGAGCCCCGTTGCTGTAGTAAATACTCAACTGTCACTGAGCAGCAAACTGACAATCAGCTGATAAACATTAAATTGATAATTTCACGGCACATATTTATTCATCGACGTGTTTAATTATATTTTCAAATATTGATTGATATGTTCTGTAATCGTATAGGGCACAGGCCGTGATCTTCACAGCGGAAGTTATTTAAATTATTTATTTTACATAAAGTGAAAATGTGCTACTTGACAGTTCCTTTTTTTTTATTTATTTTTTTTTTTTTTTTTTTTTTTTTTTTTTTTTTTTTTTTTTTCTTGTATTATTGCTTATATATTATACATAACATAACATTGCTTCATGCCAAATTTCATGATTCTAGGTCAACAGGAAGTTCCCTATAGGTTTTGATTCCCTTTGCGAATGTCAAAATATGCGATATAAATGGAACATAAACGGTCGTATATTTTGATTGCGGCGATTTAGAAACTTGATTTTTTCACTGCTTTACGAGATTAGAGACCTAAGTATATGATATTAATTTCATTTTGATACCTCCACGCATTCCTAAGAAAAAAGGTCGTCAAGATCCTTTTTGGGAGGGACGGGCGAGCGGATGGATGGACAACGAAGTGAACCTATAAGGGTTCGGTTTTTCCTTTGGAGATACAGAACTCTAAAAATATATTTCGCTAACCCTTTTCTAGCAATTAGAAATTATTTAATGAACGAAATTAGATAGCTACTTTTTGCAAAACAAAATCTACTTATCCTTACCTAATTTGATTAATTCGTAAATATCAATTAGTTACTGCATTACACAACTATACCTAACTGATTTATCATCATCATCATCATTTCAGTCATGCATTTTTTACTACCGAATAAACGTATATGGACATTTTATAACACCTGTTTCTCCCTCATTAAAATAAAATAACTTTTGATACCAAAACCTCAAAATATAATAAAATTGTACTAATTTGATAATATTTAAGTACAATTTTATTAGAAGCAAGTGAAGACGGTTACGAAAAGATCCTCTTGAAAATTGAATTAAGAATAGCCTTTGCACACAATAAAAAAAAAATAAAAAAAATAGAAAGTGCCCTCTGCACTGCGGAGGTTTAACATTAAAGATTCAGTACATAGCGTGGTTATGAGAACAGTATGTAACTTGCCCAAATAAGATAAGCAAGTTAATATTGTACTGGGTACAGTTGTGTATATATAAATATAACATTTATACAGACTGTCGTGTGTTAATGATTCCGAAAACAAAATTACATGCAGGGAAACAACTGTCAATATTGTCTTTAATGACTTGATTTTCAAACGTCTTAAAAAAGAAAACGGTTCTCAATCCAATTGTGTTTTTACTTTTTTATATGTTAGAAAATATGCCAAAAGGCGTTCTCCTTTAAAGATCTGTCGGATTCTAGAGAAAGGGCACACGGAAATGCGACCCTAGCCTCCTGAGCAACTGCAGTTTCTTACCAGAATCCCCTCCGCAACTATAATGTCCTTCTATTTTTTTTTCCATAAATCCTTCATTCCTTTTTTGTCAACTTTCTTTACTCACTTCTAAAGTTCCCTTCCTTTTTTCTTGATCCTTTCCTTCATACCGTAAGTGATGGATACCATAAAAAATGTATTCCCAAGGAAAGTCGATAATTTGTCAACATTATAGCATTAGTTTTAATATTTTGTCTTATTGCCCTTATGCCAAATAATTGGTAAAAGGGCAATAAGACAAAATGTTGAATCCAATTATGTTATCTGTAATTACTTATGCGCCAATTTTAATATTATTTAAAACATAAAATATTTGTTCTTGATCTCGTATTAATTTAATCAACACATTATAATAACATAATACATACATTATATGCACGCGTAACTAAGTTATGCGTAAATTTATGAAAGTTTTATAATACATCTATAATATATGTTTTCCAAAATTTCGGGATCAAACGAAACACAAATTTAATGTTAAAAGTACATGATAAATACCGTAATAATTAAAAGTACATAACAAAAATTTTAAAATATCGTTCCTTTGGACTTTTATGGTAGGATTTATGACGAACGAAATGTTAAGCTACATTTACTGCGCCGATTTCGGTATAAACAAAAACAAAAAATGGAGTCAGAAAATTCGGATTTCCATTTCATGGTAGACACCCTGGCATGATTTTCTTACTTTGCGTACTTATCCAAGACATGGATATAATAACTGTTATAGACATTCCTATGTTAATAAACGCCCTTAACAATCTGAGTGCAAGACTTGATTGCAATTTACTGAATCATTTAGTTAACTATACTTCGATAAATTGTAATTTATAACCACTGCAGAATGTTACTTCGTTTAGAATGAATTTCAAAGAATACAACCTATGTACATATTAGGGTTTCCAATTTTTTAGATCTTATTTCTAGATTTTAGCCTAACAGTTTTGATAATTTTTTTAAAGTAAAATGATCAGAGATCGTCATAAAAATAAACAGACTCAAAACGATAAATTCTAGTGTAGTATATGGTTTTCATTTTGTTAGAAAATGATTGCAGTCCTATGTAGCAGTATAGGTCTATTTATTTTCTTTCTTTAATTATAAACTGTTTCTTTCCAATTACAGTTTATTTTTTTAGACTTCAAACACGAACTTGATTCTTCGTGCACATAAATGTCAGTATCGATTTTCGTGAGATAAATTTTTTGGATGTTGATTTTCTCTTGAATCGATTTTACAGCACCAGATTCAAATCACTTCAAAAATTTATATTTTTTGCCCATGGTCGGCCACCCTAGTCAATATGCCACATGCATTTTAAAATGTAAAAGTAGGTAATACTAAATTCAAATGTAGCTATTGTATGTATGTATATAAATTGGTAGGTAGGTTTAGTTTATCATTACAATCTATTAACAATTCTTCGAACACTTCATTTTTATTCAATCAATGTCTTCTTTTGTTGACGTTGACATATTTATTGATAATAAAAGTATTACAGTAGCGTCTTGTCATTGGTTTAAATTAGATTTGGGTCATATTAATTAAAATATTAATGTAAATTTTTATACTTTTTTTATACTCGTATCACTTACTGATGATTGGCAGATACATTAAGCTGTCCTTATTATTAATTTGGCTTGTATGTAACCCTGAAGAAATATTAATTTGTATTACCTGACATGCATTTTTTATTATTACAGCAAATAAGCTGATGGCCCACGTGATGGAAAATGGTAAATATCACCTATTAGATATGAACAGCATCAGAGAATTACACAGAGATGACTGTGATGTTTTGTTAGAACAGTGACAACACCAACACAACACATCAGTCATGTAAATATCATTTATATTTGCGACTGAAGGACTTATATCCATAGTCATAAATAAATAAAAAAAAAAAAACAGAAAATAAAAAAAAAAACATCAGTCATGTCATGCGTCAGTCAGGATTGTTTATCGTTTCTGAGTTCCTGAGTAAAGAAGACTATGAATTCATGCCTCTGTACCTTGTAATTACACTGTCATAACCTCTTCTGGCCGAAACCATAAGAATAAGAACTTACTTATTCTGAAACTCACTTGTCTAAGTACAGATAACTCTACTATTTACTAAATGCTACCAGATTTACAAGTAGCATGATCATATAAATCATAATTGTACTGTTTAAGGGGAAAATCTTACGGGCACCTGTACGAGGGAAATAAATAATAAAAGTAGATGAAACAAGAGAAGTATAGCGACTTACACTTAGTTTTATCAGTCAATCTGGATTGAATAAATTTGTATTTCCAACCACATGTAAAGGAAGTAAAATAAAAAGTAATTATATTGTACTACAGTCTTTGAATACAAATAGGTAGGTATGTATTTATAGGAGTAATACGTGATCGTTAGTTACGCAATGAATATTAATTTTATTGTTCCATAATAGGCCAAACTTGACTTCTTTCTCAAGAGAGAAATTACATATTTGCATATTTCTTTTTAGGTATGAGATTTCAAATGGCAAAGAAGCTAACGGCCCACCTGACAAAAAGTGATAACCTTCGCCTTTAAACATTTACAACACCATAGGATGTCTATGGTGCTATTAATACAGAATAAACTCGTATCTACTATGATGCTCATAGTGCCTCTAATTGCCATTTCTGAGGAGTGCCTCCGTACAATGTAATTTCATTGTTATATCCCATTTTTCAAAGCGAAACGCAACCATGCAAGTATAGCGTCAGTGGGGGAAGGGATTGTTAGTAATGCGGACTACCAGTCCCATTACTGGCAATATACCCCGTCAAGTCGACCTCCACGTGGTCCCCCTTGAAAACCTTCGTGCTGAATTACAGGTGCATTTATCACGATGGGCTAACTGACCTGCTCTTTCATCTTCACTTAACATCTCTCACCGGTGCTCCGCCGGTGTACACCGATAGCGCGGCGGGGTTGCCATTCCATTATCATCCAAAAAAAGTATAGCGTCACGGTACAAATATTTTTTTTCAATCTTGAATTGGAAAAATTTTTTACAAATGCCATGCCATTATTACAAATGCAAGATTCAAAATATTTCGACATTTATGTTTGAGGTCAGTTACCAGCACTACACGCGAATACAATACAAATGCTGTTTTATATGTAACAGTTAGTGTCGCCGGTAGCGCCAACAATTTTTATTCAGTTTAAACACCAGTAACTTTCCACACATTGCAATTTGGTGAACAATGTAGCAAGTAAAATGAATGGTCGCCGAATTCGTGCGCGACACTGTTGTACTGTCGCCGTCGATGTGCCGCGCGCCTGCGCGTGAGTCGCCTGCAAACAACCTGCTTCTTTTATGACGACAATCCATCTTTATAAAACGTTCAGCACTAATCCCAGTGCATCGAACGTTAACAATGTAAGGTAAACCACAAGAACACTTTTAAGTAAAGAGATTTATACGAAACCTAATAATATTTGAGAATCTTTTTATTAAGCGTACCTTTTGTAAGATGTTTAAAAGCATATTATTATCTAATGTGAATATTGATTATTCAGTGGTGTCTGTGTGCTGTTTATGTATATATAAGCGACGGTTATCACTATCGATCAGGTGAGCCGTCAACTTATCTCCTATTAAAAGTTGCATATTGAAAAAAATAGCTGAAAAATATCAATTAAACAGTTTTTGAGTGACAAGAATGGACTATGATATGATGTAACCGCATCAAGTGATTATATTTTTTCTTCATTGCTGAATGCCTCCCCACATGTGGATTTTGCCAGTTTTTGGCAGACGGGTTGTCAGCCACAATTAGGCTTTTAGTAATGTTTTAAGTTTTAAGAGGGACACTGCTGTCCAGCTCTCTACCATTAAGTTTCTTTAATTGCTTCTTACGACACCCACAGGAAAGAAAGGGGTTGCCTATTCTATGCCGGGACCACACGGCAACATTTGTGTACATATTCATATCTATCATTCTTTAAGAGGAACAATGTTAGTTTTAATTTTATTTCATTCACCCATCAAATCCAAAATGGAATGGGCTTTTCACTAACCACTACACTTAGTGGTCATTTGGTACTGTTCAGCTAGAGACTCCCTGCTCCGCAGAACAGATGATGGAGCGGCTACCGCACGCAGTCACGCACGACGCACGTTCCTCGCGTCTCGCGAACCTCATTCATCAGCTGAGATTGATTGCAACTGTCAAATGTTAATGGCGGCGAGTGCTCGCCATATTGGAAACGTTGAATGCACCTAAGCTAATATTAATGCGCGTTATTGATGACTCGTAGCTTAAGTTCACGGTTACTTATTAGATGTGTAATTTATTAAACATTCTATACGTGTTTAGAAACGGGGTAAATGAGCCAGCGATAAACCTCGTTAGCAGGCCTGCGCTAGTACATTCACTGACAAAATCTATGATATTGTGTAATTTAGCTAAGTAACACATATTTTGAATGTTTACATTTTAGATAGGTATATCCTCGATTACTTACCCAGATACGCCTTATACAACTTTCAACGTGTGAAACTAGTTCCTATAATTCTAAGTCAATATCAGTTACACTAAAATATTCAAGACTAAAGATATAATAATAAGAACGAATCCGTGGTTTCTGTATTATAGCAAAGAAGTCAAATATCGTTTTCTTTAATGGGTGATAATTGAATGGTACCCCGCCTGCGCTAGAGGTATACGCTGGCGGAGCACGAGTGATAGATGATAGGTGAGGATGAAAGCAGGTCAGTTAGCCTATCGTGACGAATTCCACTACGATTAACCACGACGGTTTCCAGGAGGATCCGCATGGAGGCTGACAGAGTGTATTGCTAGCAATAGGTCAATTAGACCTCATTACTAACAATCTCTTTCCCTTTAATATTGGTTAACGTTGGTTCAAAAAAATAAGAATCAAGTTTAATTTTATAGCAAATTAATTAAAATAGTCTATCGGTATAATGGGAAGGCTGGGGCGTCAAAGGATTAATAATGAAAGGTTAAAAAATTAATTTTCATCTTCAATCCACGTTACTTGGAAAAAGTTGTTCACTATATTTTTTTACCTATATTCTCTACATGTAAAACATGATTTTTTACGACCGTACGTAATAGACATACCTATAAACACGCTACTGAACGGAATATTAAAGTGATGTAGTGACGCGCCTCCCACATTGAATTATATTTGACTAATTTGCACACGATTTTTCTTGCGACTGTACCTAATAGACGTACTGTTAAACGGAATATTAAACTGATGATGGCAATAAATCTTTAATTGAAATCATATCGCCTATTCAATCTCCGTGAATGATCGAGTTGGTGGACTGAATAGTAAGTTGCGTATACGGGGTGGCGGCTGACGCGCGTTTATTGTAACCTACCTACCGCATTCTATTTTGTATCAACCACCTTACGTCGAAAATAAAAACACAATGAAAAACTATCATATATCTGTTTCAGATATCATTAAGTATATAAAATATCACGTATACCCAATACTTATTTAAAATAAGAAAAGAATTTGATAATGTAACGGGACACCGTTGGCAATTCATAAAACGATAAGATCAAGGATACTTTATGCATCTTATAGAATCTTTCAACATAGCAAGAATATTTTTTTTTTATGATATGTATTTAATATTATGTGTAAATAAAATCTCACGTGCTTAATTTAAGATATGATCTACTAGTGTTCCAATATCTATTGAAAACTGTTCAGTCGGAGTAAACGTCATCATTAAACAACCAAACCTGTTTACAAATTTCCATATTTATATTATTTTAAAATGTATATAAAGTGTATCTGTTTGCTTGTTACTTCTTGTTGTCTTAAACAATTCAACGTCAATCAAAACATCGACGTTATGAAATATGTATTTAGGTAGAATAATTAATAAATCATAAAATTAGAACTTTACACATGAAGTTAATAATGAAATTAGTAAAATTAATAATTTAGTTATTGAATTGTTTTCTCTTTCTTTTACACTAAATACCCAATTTGAATAAAAGTGATAAAAGAGTGTAATAGTTAAAGTACGTTTCTAGATTTTAGTTCGTTTTTCATCCATTTAAAAAAATGTCTACATCTTTCTGCTCTCACTGCAGCACACACGAAGTCCATATCGAGTAGACTTAAGTTTTTATTACTTTGGTACGCGCTGCACACAGAATAGGTAATGTGATAATCATCGTAATGTATCATTGATAATCCGGGCGTATGCCACATACGTCCAACTGCATGCTGTATTTAATTTCGCAAGTCAGCAATATTGTATGTAGATATCGCATAAAGCTTAATGTTTACGCGTATTTTGTTAATAAATTATAAAATTAATTGCCGAGATAATTTACATATAAAAATACTTACTTATAGCTGGTGCTCGTCGTGTCCCAATATCGATTACACTACTTACTCTGTACACATAATTGTGCATTTATCCGATTAGAACGCGCCGGACAATGTTTTTAACTGTAAATATTTTGTATTTCTAAATAAAAACATAATAAACACAGGATTGACAACTTTATTAAATAAGTACTAAAATATAAAATCGCTCTTCAACGGCACGACGGCCTCGCGCCGAATTTTGGAAAACGATTTTGAGACATAATTCATCTTTAAGAATTAAGAGACCCTCCTTTTATCATTATCTTTTTCATTACTATTATTTTACTAGGGACATTTTTTTTAAGTTTACAGTTATATTACTTTATTACTAAATTTATTTAAATTTACAGTTACATTGTTTAGAGATTGTACTCTTATAAAAAATGTATCATGTAAATATAAAAATATAACTGTTTGACAAATTTCCCATAAATTTAAACATGACTGAGTAACAAATAAATATATTTACAAATTTTTCCATTTAAAATGTAGGAATAGTAAGAAAGACAAAATGCAATAAAAATAAAAAAAAAATGAAGTAATGTTTTGTACAAAATATTAACACGAAAACAAACATATGAATGTACTGATTCCATACATTTTGTCACAAGCATAGAATTCATTCTAAAATAGTCTTATCACAGTAATAGTACTATTTCATACAATATGGACATTCTTGTTGCTCTTGAACTGTTCTTATATCCTCTCTTTGTCTCTAATAGGATCTTTTGAAAAAGGAACGCAAGTGCACTATATACACATATACATTTTACATTGTACTGACGTTATTTACTTACGTGTGAGTGACAGCCAGAGATCACATTTTTAGTATTCTGTACTAAAATAGTAAAAATAAACCATATTGTATGAAGCAGTGGGTATGGTTTTATGTAAAATAATAATAATGAAATTAAACAATATTTGATTGTAAGGAGGCAGCTTCTTAACTTCACAATTACATATAAAATTCTGTCAAACGAAAATAATATCTATACATCCCATATACCTATATCGTATGTTATACATAAATTCGAAATATTTCTCTAAATTTATATACATATCATTACTCATTATTGTTCTCACTAAACGTATAACCACATGTCATAATCTTTACAGAAAAATCCGGTGTCCCCGAATAATAAAATGGTAATTGCAGTCACTAAATTTTTAGAAAAAACAACATTTATTGACAATCGCTTGACGAGTTATTAATTTACTTAGAAATAGGACAGCAAACTATTTATTATCAATTTTTCATAAAAAAAATATATAATTAAATTAAAGAAATTAAAATTATTGTGTTGACACTGAAGATTGTTGACACTTTATGGAGTTTTAAAAACATCTGAATATGTAAAAATTATTTAAAAAAAATTCAAAATTACTGAATCAAAAACGCATTTTATTAGTGTAATAATATATATTCTATTAATTACAACACAAATAGTGTCTGTGTTTGCAACTTGTGATGCAACTTCATTATGTCAACTTTATGAATGTTGCGTTGGTTTGGCCATTTGGAGAGCATAGACGAAAGAAGAATCACAAAGATATTTATCAAGCAATAATGAATTATATATATATATATATATATATATATATATATATATATATATATATATATATATATATATATATATATATATATATATATATATACAACCATTTACCAATTTTAGAATTCACTAACAAAAATATGAATATATTATACGAGTATTAATTATTTAACAACTTTTTAAATAACAACAGAAAGGAAGTGTAAAAAAAATAATAAGTGGATGTACACTCTGCGGATCTCAGATCAGTTAGCATTTTATTGTCCGGGGACGACTAAATAATTTTGTAATTATATGATTAAATGAAATAAATAGATCATAAAAATTCACAGACTAAGGAATCGCGTATTTTACAACTATTAGTGTAACATACAACAATGTGCAACATTTATCTAATTACATATCACAACTTACGATTGTAACTTACATAAAAAAAATGCAAAATAGAATAATTTAATATATCCATACTATATTCAGTACATTTTCAGTTTTCGTGATGGTACATTTAAACCTGTAAACAAATTGTTATTTCGTTAAAGAAATGCAAGTAGTAATGTCTCAAAATTACATACAGTTAAATTTTAAAAGTGAAATAATTTCTGCAAATTATTTTCGTTTTATATACTAACTAGCTTTTTTTTTATACAACTTAGAATGGCAAACAAGCTAACGGCCCACCTGATAGAAAGTGGCTTTACACAAGATTTTACACATATGGACTCTTAATAAATGCTATATGTTTGTTTTGACATAATACAAAAAACTAGTACACTAAATAGGATGCTGTGAAAACACAATTGGCCTCATTTAAAATCTGTCATTATTTATCTTGACACATCATCTAAAAAAAGGTTACCTTTTCCGAGACCCCCACATGCAAAACTGCGGTAAAAGCTAGTTTAAAAATAAATAAAAAAATATATTTACACGCATGCAAATGACGTCCACTTACCTCTAGCTAAGTTCGAAGCCAGCTCCTGCCTGTATGGCGTAAAGCAGCTTTTCGGCGAGTAAGTCCTCGGACTGAATCTCTGGCAGTTTGAGGAGATTCATACAAGTGGAGGAAGACGGTAGCCGGTCCGACGCGCCTGCTGATTGGATGCAGAAAGGTGGCTGCAGGTCCTGATTGGAAATTGTATGTTGAGTTTCTAAACTATAATTATGTAGAATAAGTTTTTTTTATTTTTATAATAATATATAATAATAAAAAAAAAACATTAAAATATGTAATATCTATATCTGGTGATTTTTATTATTATTGGTTTATAAATTCGCGTCATACATTATAATGAATTTATGTACGCACACGGTGAGTATGGTATACCATACTCGCCGTGTGGTCCCGGCATAGAATGGGTCTTGCTTCCTTTCCCTTGGATGTCATAAAACACGACTAAGAAAACTTAATGTTCAAGGGATCGACAGTGTCCCTCTTAAAACATCACCTAAGCGTAACTGGCATCGCCAGCCTGCCTATCAAACGTGGCAACTATTGGCAGAAACCTCAAAAGGGAGAAGCAGCTGTTCAGCAATGGACAGTTAACATCTGATATGATGATGATTAAATCATGCTCAACTAACATCACCAGAATCTTTGCATCTATTTTTCTATTATAAACACAGTGTAGAACGACCCTCCCCCCTCCCATTAGATGAAGTGACCGTCTGAAATGTATTACAGGGAGTCAGTGGATGCAGGTGATTCAGGACCACCTGCATCTATGGGGAAGGCTTATATCCAGCAGTGGACGGATAATGGCTGAAATAAGATGATGATGATTGTAAATTATTAGGTATTATTTAAAAGAAATGAAACCTGGAAAATAGAAATGTTATATCGAGTTGAGTAAACCATCATCTAGTTTAATTATTCGTTATTATTATTAGTAAGATTATTCGTTAGATTTTAGTACAATTTTATTTGTCCAAACTCCTATCTTACTCGTCCTGCCAATAACTTATTTATTTATTTAATTAACTCTTTATTGCACCATAAATAAAAACATACAATGACAAATGAATAATTCAAGTGAAATAAAGTAACATAAATACAGATTGAAATATACACATAAAGGTACAAAAGGCGGTCTTATCGCTAGGGCAATCTCTTACAGACAACCTTTTGTTAAAGGAGAACATATAGAAATGGGTAGGTGGCGCAAGAGTGAATTAATTATTTTTCGTGCATAAAATACGAAAACATTGATCGTAATTTTATCTTACCACTATCACGGAATTATCGACAAAAACTCTACTAACCTTAAAACCTAACAATGGCGGCCTAGAGCAACTGGTAACGAATTTTAACAACTGCCGCCTCTGGTCGTCCGTGAAGTTTTCCACCACCTTCCAAAAACACCGGACGGTCGGATGAGTCGCTGAGAAACCACCTAAATAAAACAAAACGACATATATGATTGAAATAGTTCATTTACGTATATAATTTTTATAATTAGTTCCGTTTATTCAAATTTTTTAAGTAAACATTTTTTACATAAAGTTATAAATGTTTTCCGACAAGTTGATCAAATTTAATTGTACCCATGACTCTCTGTTATCCAGTGTTTTTAGGCTTATTCTTTAGCGTCTATTTAATAGATATATTTTATATAGTTAGAAATATTCTAACGATGATATAGGCTATATATAAATCATAGATTCTCAAAGTGGTCGAAAAGGCCTCCTTCTGAGTATTTGAGATTTTCAAGAGGGCAATAGAAATCCCCAAATTGGGGGAAAGATGAGATTATTCAACATTGAAATGGTGCAAAGAGTGTACACATTAAAAAATATAGTCTATAAAAAGCAGATGGTAAATAAAATTAAGAGATGGAGGACTCTACAAAAAAACATATTGGTAAAGTGGGCGGTGGGCAAAATAATGTTTAGAAACTATGATCTAAATCATAATTTGATATATTAAGTAAACTATTAATATATTAATAAAGGTTCACATCAGTTTAGTTAATGCACCTGATTTGCTGCACATGCGAGCTAATATTTTTTTTTATTTATTGTATTAAAGTTTTATGATCGAGTATGATCAGAGCTAGTTGTACAGAAAACAAGCACATAACTTGAAATATGTGTTCAATACAATAATGTTTTCAGGGTGTTGTTACGGCTGTCACGTTTTTGTAGTGCATGCACAATGTTTGCAGCGGCATGGACAGATGACTTCTATGCCATCAGACGCAAACGGATCGCATCTCTTTTATACCGATTGTGTGGCAGCAGTAACAGCATTCTGTGGGCATTGTGTAATAAATACGATAGCCCGATCCTCTCATTGTGGGTCAAAATTATTGTAGGGGCCGTAAAATGATTTTTGTATTTTTTTTTCTACTAACATAGTTTAAATCAATTGTTATTAACAAAAATGGATCTTTGTAATCTATAATAAAGAAAATGCTATTATATCTCGACCTAATATTATTATTATTCTTATTAATAATATCCATAAGAGTTGTTTTATGCATAACTAGCTCCAATCAAAGAAAGGTATAGAAGGTATGCATGGTGTGCGGACTGACCGGTGTAAAGCGTGTGCGCACGCAGATCGTGCAAGTCGATGGGCACCTCCGCGCCGGACACTAACAGCTGCAGCTCGCCGCACGAGAACATGCGCAGCCACTCCGCGTTCACCACAGACGTCAGCCCGCGCTTAAACGCAACGCACTGTGGTCGGATTTGTCTGAAATATTATTGTTATTACAATTCAAATAGGCAACTAATGTATTTGCACAGAGCAATAATGACGAATTTATGGGGTGGTAAGCGCATTCGCTTTTTGTATTAAGTGTAAACATGAATTTACATAAGATAACAAAAAATTTTCAACAGACTTCAAAAAGAAAGAAGTTCTCAATTCGGTTGTATTTTTATATTTGTTATCTCATAATTCATCAGTTCTACAAATTTGGAAAATTCTTTTTATTGCTCTGAAAGGAAGAAATTTTCCCATAGAAATTTTATAATAATAGATTCAGTAGTTTAGTTTTGAAATCAAAATAACTGGTTTTGTCACAATAAAAATTATTTTTTTCTATGGGACACAAACTTTAATTATAGGATGCCAAACATAAATTTAGGTCATGATTTTGTAACATCATGTCATCCAATCTTCATAAAATTTGATGTAAACATTCCTATCTTGGATAGAGAAGATTAAGACTAACTGATACACCATTACTAGTAAAGAATTCATATAAATGATTTAATATTACAGCCGAAAGATAATAGTTTAATTCTAAGACATTTCAATAATAGCATGATAACAAAGTTGTTTTTGATCTCGGTTTTGGAAATGCGTGTAACACGCAACTTCACTGTTACCATCAGCTCGGCGTCATTATGTTTATATACATGTATACCAACTGTTTTTATAGCAAAGCAATATAACAGATTGCTGAATAGTCATTATATAACTAATATACAGAATGTCTAGTAAAAATAATTGATGATCGGTGTGTTTGATGACCAATGTTAATACTACACTATATGTGATAAATATAATAAACCTATTACTAATCGTAATGATTTATTATGTTTTACTTATATTTTATTAAAATTTGACTATGTCTAAAAAACTCAACCGAAAAAGATCTTTAACACTGCAGTGTAAGTTTAATAATGAAAGATGATGATTGATGAGTTGTAGCCTAAAACAAATAAATAATTAAACTTAAATTAAGTACCTGTTTAATTTATAATCAGCGACTAGGTGTATATATTCTATCCTATTTTCGGCCGTTACAGGAATATTTGCTCCGCCAGGTTTCAACTCTTCTATCTGTAAACATTACTACAATAAATAAACTATAATTATAGAAAGCCTATTAAATACTATTAAATGTATTTTTTTATAACACAAGCGTTTGCAGCCGCACTAAGTAATGTCGCAGTAAACCACGGTACAGCGCGGGGTCCAGCGACGAATACAGACCGTACGGCGGTGGAGGTGGTGGTGGAGATGGTGGAGAGTGTCTCACCCGTTGCTCGCCGAGCTCGTCGCTGACGACGGTGAAGTCGAGCCCCAGGTCGGGCACGTCGCGGCGGCGGTGCGCCTTGAGCTGCAGCAGGCCGCGGTACAGCGCGGGGTCCAGCGACGAATACAGACCGTACGGCGGTGGAGGTGGTGGTGGAGATGGTGGAGAGTGTCTCACCCGTTGCTCGCCGAGCTCGTCGCTGACGACGGTGAAGTCGAGCCCCAGGTCGGGCACGTCGCGGCGGCGGTGCGCCTTGAGCTGCAGCAGGCCGCGGTACAGCGCGGGGTCCAGCGACGAATACAGACCGTACGGCGGTGGAGGTGGTGGTGGAGATGGTGGAGAGTGTCTCACCCGTTGCTCGCCGAGCTCGTCGCTGACGACGGTGAAGTCGAGCCCCAGGTCGGGCACGTCGCGGCGGCGGTGCGCCTTGAGCTGCAGCAGGCCGCGGTACAGCGCGGGGTCCAGCGACGCCAGCGCGTGCACGTCCGGCTCGCGCCGCGAGCACAGCTTGCTCAGGAAGAACTCCGCCAGCGGCAGCTCCACCAGCAGGTTCTCGTACAGCGCCTGCCGAGGTTCACAGCATGGGTGGTAACAGCCAAATTATCTATCAGTTTTATATTTCAATTTTCAATATTTCTGATTAATTATTTAAAAAGTACTCTAATAGTGAAGCTACTGAAAATTTGGACTTGGATGGAATGAATTCAGAAACAAAATATGAAGTGGGTGCAAAATCTTCAGCAGTATGTTTATAAAACCGCAAACTACATCTAAGACATTATCATCAGTTTTCATTAGGTGATATCGAAGGCAATTATTCTATGTATAACCATTTCATTCACTGTCAAGAGCACTTTTTAAAAATCATAATCAAATGGAAATATTTAATGAAAATTATTAAATTATTTTCCAAAAATTCCAATATCACCACATTTCATTGAACATTCTTTAACAAAATCGAACATTTATGTGATTTATCACTAACACCTGCAGACTTACGATATATGCATGCTAGACTGTACATGTTTTAAATAGGACATACCTTTCCAAGCATCCTTCCAACAAAATAATAATGCATCGTGAAGTCATCGTAAAGTAAATGCACGCCAGGGTTTGGATACAACATGTTATCCTTTGTTAACCGAAACAGACCTCTGTTTGGATCAAAAGCTGATCTGTAAAAAAATCAGAAAAAAACATAAAAATATTTAATTTTATTCAAACACTATACTTTTAATACAGAATCAAACATAAATACTTATGAATGGTAAAATTTACAAGAACTATATCTGTACTATTTTTATTTTACACTCTAAATAGGATTTTTTATATAAAGAACAGTTACTAATTTTTCTATACACACCAATATTTTATCACTCGTTAGTCAAGAACTTATTTACGGGATTTTTTGAAATGTAAATAATTAAACATTTACATTTCGAAAATGTTATTCAAGAAAAAAGATGGGTACAATTGTCAAGTTGTATCTGATAATTCACTGGACTGTATAGTAAACAAGTTCAACTAACATACACTAACTGTTTAGTAACATTTAATGTAACAAACGAAAAGTTTAGGGGGGAAAGGGATTGTTAGTAACGGATACTAAAAATCCCATTGCTAGCAATATACCCAACCAGGTCGACCTTCTCGTGGTTCCCCCTGGAAACTATCGTGGCTAATTCTTGATGATTTCATTATGATGGACTAACTGGCCCGTTTTCATTCTCATCGATAACCCTTCACTGGTGCCAGCGTATCCCATTAGCGCAGGCAGGGTACCCTTCCATTTTCACCAATCAAAAAAAAAACGGAAAGCTTAAGCTGTAGTATCTATATTTTACTAGCTATATCCCGCGGTTATACTCGCGTGAATCAGTATATAAATATATCTTAAAACATATCTTACTAATTGTACTAAGTCGCCGTATGGTCTCAGAATAGAAAAGGCCACTCCACTTTCCGTGGGAGTCGTAAGGGGTGCATAAGGGAACTTAATGGTCGAAGGATGGGCAGAAGCATCCCTCTTAAAACATCACTAAAGCCTAACTGTGGTTGTTAATCCGCCTGTTAACATGGCAACTACTGGCAACAACCCCCCCCCCCCCCCCCCAACATGCGAAAGGCCTATGTTCAGCATTGGACAATTAATGGCTTATATGATGATGATGATAATGATGATGTGCTAATTTAGGATAAAACCCATTTGTGTACAAAATACCATTTATCCATTCAATAGTTTTTGCGTGAAAAAGTAACAAACATACATCCATCCATCGTTACAAACTTTCGCATTTATAATATTAATAGAATAATCTTACTTGAGCAACTCTGAAAGGAATTCCCTGAAGAGACCACCGCCGTCAACACCCGCCTCTTCAGCGCCGGCTTGGTTTATTAACTGCACACGAAGCCTCAGCTTCAAATCTGGCTCTGTAACAATTGTCAATGGCAATACCGGTCACTATAATGTGCAACGACAACATATATATTAAATATAATGTTTGTGTATTATATGTATATTTCTTATGTATTATGTGTATGTATAATTATTTTAGTGTGTTACTCAATAATCACCACCACTGCCCTTCATACGCTTTCTGTTTTTGCCTAATGATTAGTTGATAGAGAATGCCATGCGGCATTAAGCTCGCACTTGTACACGTTTTTTTTTTATACAACTTAGAATGGCAAACAAGCTGACGGTCCACCTGATGGAAAGTGGTAACCGTCGCCTATAGACATGAGCAGTACCATGGACATAACATAGTATACTGTTTCGCCCATGATACCCCCCATGCGTTGCCACTCCTGAGGACTCAGATGTTATTCTTCTGTACCCAGTAAATTCACGCCATATCCCACCCTTCAAACCGAAACAACCATGCAAACACAACTGCTTCACGGTTGAAACACGAATGGGACAGAAGTAAACAAGCAATCGACTTTTGTACAAAGTCTCCTTCTAGTGTTTTATTGTGCTATAAAAAAATAAATAAACATACAACAAAACAAACATGTATGATTTATATTTAAATATGAAATAATAAAATTGTAAGTTAACAATGTTTGTACGTAAGAGAAACATAGGAGCAATATTTGCCAAAATAATAATTCTTAGAGATTTTGTCTGTCTGTGCATATGTTTGTTCCGGCATAATGTAAAAACTATTCAACCAAATTGTATGCGGTTATCACAGGACCTGACGATGTAACTTAAAATCTGGTATATGTTTTAAGACGCTACCTAGAAGTAGTATATTTTGATTAGTATCTCTACTTCTGAAAATTACATTGAATTACCTACTTTTGAAATTTACGCGTACAGAGTAACAAGTATAAAGTTAGCAGACAAGATAAAATATTATCGTCATTTTTAATTAGTTGTCAAAAATGGTGAGTCTGTAATGAAATAGTTTTAGTTTCTTCTTTTAGATATTTAACGTTTTTGTACATACATACATACATATCTGTCACGCTTGTCTCCCATTATGGTAGACAGAAACAATGGAACGCCAAATGCTTCGATTTAAACAAACCTCTTTCGCTTCCTCCACATTCATCGATCTTTTCATACACGCTCGCCAGTTAGGGGGTACTTTTAATTTATTGTATCTTACTTCTGTACTAAATTATCAATTTAAAAAAAGTAACAAAAGTTTAATAGTGTAAAATAGGTTTTAGTTTTTATAAGGTATTTAATCTTTATTAGTGAATATATATCCATAGGTTTAGTGTGGGTACTCACCGTTACTAGGGCTAAGTTTATCAAATGCATCTTCGTATAAATGTGTGCGACGCACGCTGATATTTATAGAGGGCCCTTCATTGAAATTGTTCAATTCATACCAATGGTCGTGCTTTTCTCTAAAAATAACAAAAATACCTATTTTCGATATAACTAAATTATGTATAATGATCAAAAGGTTTATTTATATCATTCAATGTATAATTCATAGACTTCCATAAAGGTAGACCAATCACAGTGTAGATATAAATAAATCTAAATTAATAAAAAAAAAAACACGAAGTAATGATATCCACATCATGTTGTATGGTCTTAGATAAAGCATTAATAGTTAAATCTGAGCAAAATAATACTGGTTGAGTATTACAAAACAATTGTCAGACATGACACATTGGGGTCGATTCGGAGGTGTCATTTCTCTAAAGTTACCTCCACCTAATATTTTAATTTAATAATATTATGAAGTTACCGACCACTAATAACAACATAAACTAAAATTATAATATTTTTCACTTAAATCTATTAAAAAAATATTTAAATCAGTCAACTTACAATAAATATTTTGTTGATACCAATTTGAAATTTTAATTTTAAAGATAGATTTAAATAAATGGCACCTCAGAATTGGTTCCAAAGTAAATGTTTCCGTTTTTAGAATTATAGTTCTAACAACTATTTACGTAATATACTTTTGACGTCACAAATATAAATAACAAGCAAAACTATTTTGTACCAATAAATTACTTATTAAATTTATTTTATTTTTACTATAAACATATACATTTTTCAGTATTTTGAGATACTGTATAATAATTCAAATAAATAAATAAGTTAAATATATAATGAAAATTTCCTAATTTAAAACAAGAAGTCTTACCTAATTAATAGTCCTTGAAAGATTAAAACTCGTGTAGAAAATGGCACCACGAATGGTATTTCCCGTAAAATTGTCACTGTTCTTAATTCTTTGATTGTTAAAGGAGGCCCCTCCTCTGAAAATCATAAAATAATAGGTTAGTAGTGCAGAGCGAAAATGTTCTTCGTTAGAAAGTTCTAACACGATAATACGATAAAACATTAACTGCGGTTGTTAATCCGCCTGCTACGCGTAGCAACTCTAGCAAAACTCTGGCTTTTTTTTTACAATACATTTATATTAATTATTAGTATCCGCTCCTTTTGGACCAAACTAAGGCTAAAAAAAGTCAAAGAAAAAAAACAATGGCATAAGTCATGCCACAGCGGCCATATTTTTTTCAACGCAATTTGAATTTCGAATGTCAATATAAAAAACATACATTTAAATTTCGAATACTAAGTTTATTCAAACTGAGGTGGGGACCCGCGGCCGTCGATACGTAACCCCCAGTGGTAGCGTACCTTGTGAGAGTGCAAGCGCGGCGGAGGCTGGCGGTGGTGGGCGGCGCGGCTGGCGTAGCGAGTAGCGTGTAAGCGGGCCTGCCGCCGCCAGCAGCCCCGCCACGCCTTCCGGGCCCGCGCCGACCGCGCCGCTCACGCCGCTCACGCCGCCCGCGCCGCCTGCGCCCCACACTTCCGCGCCGCAGAACTGCAGTCGCGCGTCGCGGGCGTACAGCGCGCGCAACAGATGCGTGCACACCTGCGGTTTTTTTATACAACTTAGAATGGCAAACAAGCTAACGGCCCATCTGATGGAAAGTGGTAACCGTCGCCTATAGACATGAGCAGTACCATGGACATAACAAAGTATACTGTTTCGCCCATGATACTCCTTATGCATTGCCATTTTTGAGAACTCAGGTGTTATTTCTCTGCACTCTATAAATTTACTGCCCTATCCCATCCTTCAAACCGAAACACAGCCATGCAAAAAAAACCTGCTTCGAGATTGAAACACGAATAGGAAAGAGGTACCCAGGCAAACGACTTTTGTAGGGGGAAAGGGATTGTTAGTAATGGAGTTTGACAGCCCCCTTGCTAGCAATATACCCTATCAGGTCAACCTCCACGTGGTTTCTCCTAGAAACCATCATGAACAACTCTTGTTGAATTTGTCACGATGGGCAAACTGACCTGCTTCATCCTCACCTATCACCTCTCACTGGTGCCCCGCCAGTGTATATCGATAGCGCGGGCGAGGTTACCATTCCATTGTCACCCCCCCCCCCATTAAAGAAAAACGACATTTGTACAAAGTCTCCCTCTGTTAAAATTAGATAGTCCCTTTTAATGCCGGGCGAAATAGAGGGGCCTATGCGAAAAAAAAGCCGGCCGAATTTCACAGTTTTACAAGGGATAGGAAAAACGTCGTCCACAAAGAGTTCAAACAAAAAAAAAAAATTTTTTTTAATTATCTTGTAATCAAATTAGATCATTAATAATGCATTACAAATTTATTTTTAAATAGAGTTCTCCCGCAATGCGAGTAGTAAACCGCTACAAGGCGCGAGCCGATATATCGGCTCTGGCAGTTTTCGCCAAGTGTAGCAGGAGCCGATATATCCACTCCCGGCACTAAAAGGGTTAAGATATTGGGGAATACGCACCTTGAAGAGGTGCGACCAGGCGGGCGCGCGTGGCTGGCGCGTGTCGGGGCAGGCCAGCTCCACGAGCCCCAGGCACACGTGGCGCAGCGTGCGGCACAGCGCGCCCAGCTCCGCGAACGAGAACGCGTGCATGCGGCCGCCCCCGCCCCCGCCGCCGCCGCCGCCCACCGCCGCGCCCCACGCCTCCTCGCTCTCCATGCTTTCAGCGGCCGACCTCACCGACGGCGTCGTTACTGGACACGGTAGAGACAACATTGCATGTGCAGGTGCCCTTATATAAAGCACTTGTCATATTTTTTTATTAATGAAAATTAATAGTTGGGTTTATCAGTATACACAGATAGGGTACCAATGAATGATGATAGGCGAATATGAGGTTGCCTGGAGGTCGCTCTTAGCGATAAGGTCGCCCATTGTTTTCTCATTGTGATTATTTCTTGTAATTATTTATATTTATAATAAGTTTACTATTGTAATATTTTGGAGGAAACAATAAAGAGTATCTATCTATCTATGAAGACAGAATGGTTAGGCCATCGTGACGAATTGATCTGGAATTGGTTGGTGATGGTTGGTTTCCAGGTTCCACGATGGTTTCCAGGAAGAATAGACATGGAGACTGACCTGATAAGTTATATTGTTAGCAAGGAGTCGCTAATCTCCATTAGTAACAATCCCTTCCTTCCCATACGTGTCATGTAGTGACACTAACCAGTGTAGTAATGTTTCATTACATTTAATATTAAAAAAAAATATTGAAATAAATCTTTTTATACAGGCAATAAATTTGTTTCATATTAGTTCATTTATTTATTATTCGCATATAAAAAATAATATTTCATCAATCTATAATAAATTGGTAAACATGATTTTTATTGCACGAAGATAGATACATACTCATTTTGTCATCATCGAGGTCTCTACAGAACTCCGTGTCGTGTAGGGTCCCGATGAGGAGCGAGAAGAGTGCACAAAAGACGGCCAGTGGCGCAAGCAGTCGCTGCACGCCGAGCGCCGCGCCGTCAGTCGCGAAGGGCGCCGTCGGCGGCGCGCCGACCGAGCTGAGGGCGGTCAAGCCGCGCGATAACGCCGACAGCAGCGGCGTGGCGGACCCGCCGAACGAAGACTCGTGGCTCAGGCCGCTCAGCCAGTGCCACAGTTCGCGCAGGAACGTCGGCTTGAAAGCTAGTGTGTACAGCAATCTGCAATTATTGTCATTTTGTGTACATAACAATCCATTGACTCAGTTCTGTAGCACGAGACCCATGTAGGAGGATGACATTAACCTAAACGAGACTCTCGTGTAAAGATATCATTAGTTTTTTTTTTTTATACAACTTAGAATAGCAATGTCCAGTAAATAAAACTAGACAACAAATACTAGAATGCGCCAGAATTAAAACTTGTGATTTTTTATAGATTATTTTGTCATATAATTGGCAGGTTTTGCCAGTAATTGCCACACTTGGTAAGCGAGTTGGCAACCACAGTTAGGCTTTTGGTGATGTTTTCAATAACGGTGTTGACTATTCCTCGACGATAAGTTTCCTTAGACGTCCCTTACGACACCCACGGAAAAGGAATGGGTGGGCTATTATTTTATGATTAAAGATAATTTGGAGTAAAATTTCATAATTAATGAGTAGATTTTATTATTATGTACAAATGTGAAGTGACAGATAATAGGCTATCTTTTCACAAATGAATTATATCTCACATATTCGCAATATGTATTATTATTATGCTAGTATGTATTTTTTCTAGTAAATATTGAAATATTTTTAAATAATGTTATAGAGCATTATAAATGGATTGGTTTTATAGTAAAATGAAAGATATACTTCTGTGTGATACTTATCACAGCACCTATGTACATAAGTAAGAAAAAAAAATCTTAAATATCAAAATTTTCTCTCAACATACCTGTATTTATGTAAGGCCATCCTGTGACTCAGCAACAGATTGTGACAAATCTGCGACATGCAGTCTAGGAATTCATCATTTAAATCACTATCAGTGATCTGGGTGCAAGTGACCATCACACAGTGGTCTGGCTCATTTAACAACTCTATGCAGCGGGCGAGCAGCAATTGTTCCCTCACAGAGGTCGGGTTTGGTTCACTATCACTGTCACTGTCCTCATCTTTCTCGGCTGCTGGCTCTTGACTGTACAATGAGTCTTCATACTCATAAGTTATCTGTTTATTGCACACGTTTATTGTTAACTTGGCTATTATTTTAAGGTATTCTAATATAATAGGATTATTTGGCAGTCTTGTGTTATTCAATTTACGTATATCATTTGCTGGAACAAAATACAATAAAGTCAGCCATTCATTTATTTGTCACTAGTGACAAATAAATCAACATAGGTTTTAGCATTAAAAAATAACATGCACCATTCTCATTTTTATTTTAAAGTCACTTAATTACAATTCAATTTCTTTAATACTGTAATACATACCGAAATCAGGAGGTTCCAACGACAGCACAGAATGCAACAGCCATGAATCATTCACGAGTATCCTGTTGTTGAATTTGCTGTCATCCCGTAGACATTGTATGAGTGATAGGAATGGAAACTTCTTAGTCAGATCATGTGAGAGTGATGGTATTAAATACATCTCTATAGGTTCCAGGTAAGGATTACATAGAAATGCTGCAGCAAACTCAGACATCACTGTGTCACTAAAAAAGTAAATAATAATAATAAAGTATCAAATCATAATTAATTATTAAGACATATGAAAAGCATTATACTACATTTAAATACTATATTATATATTTAAATGTTTTGTTTTTTTTTCTTTTGAGCTATATTCTCAATTTAAATAAAAATGACTAAACATAGTATTAAAATACTTACAATATTTAGTCCCTTTTATTAATATCTATATATTTCTATATTAAGAGACAACTTACTCATATTCGGGTATGTTAGTGTGCATTGTCAAATTGAGAGGTCTCTGTATCAAATCCAGCAAAGCTCCACATAGGGGTGTGGGTGGATTTGGAGAAGGACCATAAAGTGGTGGTGTTCTCTGGCACATTAACTCACGCAAATCCTTGAAATAGCCTGAAAAGAATAATAAATGTTTAATAACAAAATGACTGGAAAAAGATTAAAACAAAAATCTGAAAAAAAAGATTCCGCTTAAAACTCAAAACTGTTAATTATACCTTATATTAATGTCAAATTCTATAAAACAAATTAAAGGAAAAAAAAATTTAATAAAATTAAAATATTTTGTTATTAAGCATTTTTAAAAATATTACATATGTATATAAAGTACTTATCGTTTTACCTCTTCTGATCAAATATAAGAATGTATTTCCAACAACACCCAGTGACTCTTCACTATTCATTGAAGTCTCTGCAGAGTTCACTGAGGTGAATACTTCAAACATCCTGAGGGGTACCGCAAGAGACACCTGTGTCAAAACAGAGATTTAAATCAAGAAAACTATGTTAAACTATGTAATTAAAATTTGTCTGACTGTTTATATCACATAGACTATATGCTCGTTGTTTTTAAAAACATATTCAACCGACTTCAAAATAGAGGAAGTTTGTTACCTCTTAACTACATAATTTATAAACTAATTTAGAAAATTCTTCTTGTATCTAAAAAGATATACTTTCAAATTGATTCCATATAGAAATTTTAACTAAATTAGTTCAGTAGTTTAGTTTTTAAATCAAAGTAACTGGTTTTGCCTCATTTGAAGTCTGAGTATTTCTGAATAAAGCCTAAATTATGAAAAATTAACACAGCTCTCCAGCTACATAAAATTTTTAATATCAAAATTTGTGAAGAGATTTGGATATTTCTTACTAAATTAGATATAAATAGGTTTAAAAAATTTGTATAAAATTTGGTACACAAACCCTGTCCTAGAGTAAATATTTTTATCCCAATTCATAAATGAAATGAATTATGGCTAGGTATTATATATTTATATTCATAACATATTTACAGTGCCAACTTCAATGAAAGCAGTAGTTTAATAAAGTTTCTAAGGAGCATTCGTATTTAGCATATTTTCAAAGATTTAATTGATTAAATTTTTAATCCAATTTAAATTGTGTTACAAATTTTGATCTACTTACTGGGTTAGTTACTTATAAAAAAATAAAATAAAAATATGTATACATTTTATGTATGTCTTGTTTCATTTTACATCAGAATCCAAAATGGTATTAAAAACTTGATTACCTCTGCATTGTCTTTCAGTAACCGTAAATGCAATGCAAGCAACCTTCTGATTTGTATGCAGGAGCCTTCACTTTGAAATACTTTTTTCCATTGCTTCAACAATAACTGTGATATAGACACCTGTAAAATACATTTTTAATTTAGTACAAGTCTGACGAATAAATGTGTTTTGTATTAAAATTCCTATTACTTTTTAATAATAACTTAGGTAGATTTGTTTATTTATATTACAATAAGAAGAAACTAACACCTAGTTTGAGGAACACCTTCAGTACAGTAGGTAGTAAAGCATGAATTACTAGTTTTTACAAATAGTAATGGTGGTAATTTAGCAGGTATTTTAGAATATAAATAATATGTTATATAAGATTCATCTCTGAAGAATTTTGTACAATGAAAATTTAAGAATTTTCTCAAGCTTTATGTCTTTGTGTTAAAAAGATCAATATTAGAGTCATAAGAAATTTTATTAAATGACTTGCTTGTTTTAATTAAATATGAATTCAGTCTATAGTTATAATATCTTATATTATGATTTTGTGACAATATTGTTTGTGATGGCAATTTTGAGGCTGTACCTAACAAAACTGTAGTAATAATATTTGATGACAAAACGTACCAATCTCTGACAATCCTGTTTATCATCATAAAAGAATAACACTTTAGCAACAAGTGATGAAATAAGTACTTGATCATCAGGATTAGCTCCCAAAAAATATTTGTCAAATTGTTCTCTTGCATCTTGCTTGCAATGCTTTCGTATTAAGAAACTCCTTATGTAAGCCTGTATCTTTATAGTGCTGTTTAAACGCTTTCTGTGTTCCTGTGAATATATATTATTTATTTACAAGTAACAATCATAATAATAATATATTCAATTATGACAAAATTAATATAGATACAACATGAGAGTGAAGCTTATAAATTTTAAAGATAAATTATATTTTAGTTTGCTATCTGAGCAGTTTTTAAATAATCAATATAAATACTTCTAATCGTAAACACTTCAATCTGAACATCTTTAAATGATGTCTGTCAAATTATAATAAAGATAGATGACATTTCCAAGTAGCTGATCTATTTCTATCATAAAAAAATGGCTTTTTCATAAACAGTCAGAATTAAAATCAAATTGATAACAAATACTACAATAAACATTTTTTTTTTATTTATTTATAAATAGTTACTAACTAAGTGAGTTTAACAGTTGCACGGTTCACTTCCTTAGCAATCACAATATTTATATAAACATAATAACATTTAATTACCGGACACTTTCTAAATAATTTATTACCATTCTGTGAAACTCAACAAGTTTACAAATAAAGATATCCAAGTTATATATAAGTCCCTTCTATCTTACACCCTTTAAACACTTAAAATATACTCAATCAAAGCTAATTTTCATCTCACCTCAAGTGAGTTATATTAAGATAAATATAAAAAAAAGAAAGTTATTAATTTTACTTTTATTGTGTATTATGCAATTTTTCTTTAAACTTCTTTTTATTATTCTTTTAATAACTGATAAGTTTCCATGATAGTGTCATTGTAATGTTGCCAAGAGTGATGTTGATTTTACTATAGATTCACAGCTAATATTTTCATTTAGATCAAATTTGAATTCAATATATAAGTAGAATACAAAAACACCACTACCCTGATTCTACATTTTTTGCATAAAATTATACTATTGCTTGTTTATCATTCCCAGTACAATACTGAAAATGTATGTAATACTGACATTTTAAATAAATAACTCTATTGTCAAATTACTGGTTTAAAAATAATCATAAATTGATGTTTTAAAAAAATTTATATAACCTCTCGCTTTTGTCTTTGTTGTTGCGACTGGAGAATTAGTGCATTTCTATCAGTTTTTCGTTGTGCACTTGCGCCCGCCAGATTCTGCTGGGGTTTTCGCCTAAAGTCACCCTCAAAGGAATACATATCACAAAATTTAACAATTCCTAATTCACAAAATGTTTTACAATAATATGTAAACAATAATCAGCTGAAAGTCTATCTTTGCAAGTATTACGCTCATCTCAAATCACAAATATCGATGTTAAAATTAAAACTTAATCATTATTCTAATAGATAACATGTAACACAAGCACTTGCTCAGCAATGTAAATACTTAATCAAATTAATATTTATCTGTTGTTTTTGTTCTGAAATGTTACTCAAATTAAAATAATAATGAAGAGACATAAAATAAGGATGATTTGTTTTTTTTCTTTTCTGATCAGTGACCACCACCACAGGTTGTGACTGTACTACTGTGTTGCAAGTGTACAAAATATGATTATGAAGAATCGGGGTAGAGCATAGATTAAAATTAGTATTTCTCTTTCTACGGGTTAGAGGTAGCACCGAGGCCTGCGACAGTTGAAAGATTGTTGTTGAAATAATGTTTTTCTATGAAACTATGTTATCAAACTGTAAAAAATTTCGAGATGCTAGTAGATGCCAAATTTGGCAGGCGGGTTGGTAACCGCAGTTAAGTTTAGATGGTATTATTTTTAACAGAGATGCTTCTTCTCATCGCTCGACCAGTAAGTTCATTTAGTCTACGACACCCACGGGAAAGAAAGACGTGGCCCCATTCTATACCGGGATCTCTCGGTAAGACATATTATAATTATATGTAATTGTAATGATGTCATAACTACAAATAAAGCTATTTTTCTTATATGCATATAATACAGTGAATATATATTCTATAGAAATGAATACGTGTTTTTTTTAGATGCTGTATGACTAGCAACAATTCCAACTATTCTTTAATGCACCAAAAAGAACTTGCACTACCTGTTACTAATTTTCACAAAAAATAAAATAAAATTGTAGTAGATTAAAATACATACATACATACAGTAAAGTCACTAAATATAGCTACTAATTTTATTGTAAATGTTTTTTCTTAAAATTTAATAATTTTATATTATGAATTAGCTGGATTTTTTTATAGTAACTATTGATATCGATATGTTGGTTGGAGGCATATATAGAAAGTGGTACAACTCTATGGCTATTCATACATTTTTCTTTTTTTATATAATTTTCATTATGTTGTTACTTCGAAGAGGTAAAATGCATTTCAATTGCATTATACAATTTATATTTCTAGATAGTTGCATAGACTCATTTTCCAATTCTGACAATATAAGAATATTAGAACAGTGCCGACTCTTAAATAGCGTAGTCAATGCTTGAATCAGTAATTTCATTTTATTGTTTACATTTTTTAAATATCATTGTCAATCTTTCATTTCCTTAAAAGTTAAATTATTATGAAGAAAGAAGGAGAAAATGTCGTAAAGAATTAAGCGCGCTATAATGTGCGTTAAATAAAGGTGTACAAGGATTGCTGAATCGTCTCTTGTCTCCTTATTATTATTATCCACCCTTGGCGGAATTGCTTACATTTGATTCTTGTAATCAGTTATATTAAATTTATTTGCTTATTTTGAGCAATTCTAAATAATACGATGGCCGAAATGCTTGTAGATGGAGAAAATGCCGATAGTTCGGGTCGAGTGAGTAAATTGTCCACAATAAAAATCATGCTGTTGTTGGGCTTACTGGCAGATAGAAATATAGTGGTCAGTGGTTATCCTTAGAGTTGGTATAACTCGATGTAACTACTGAATTGACTGTATGCCAGTTCAATTAATTGAAATTCAAACATTGCTCATATTGCCTGTTGTTATTATTTGCATTAATTTTGAGAGCATTTTATTTAACACCATAGAATGATTAGAAGATGCTTCTATTGGAGGGAAATAGACTTTCATTATATTTTGTTATTTTAAAAATGGTTCTGTTTAAAAAACTACCTCTGCATCTTGAAGTCTTAACAAATTACCACTTTTTATTAATCAACTATATATAAAACTGGATTTTACTTACTTTTCATTTTACATAGCTCACTGTCTCCTCAACTATGTTAGTAGCAATATCACCAGTTAAAAATGGTGTCTGCCATTTAATATAAAGAAGAAAAAATAAGCAGATTAAAAAGAAAAGTATTATAAAAATTACTTTAACACCTTAAAATATTTATTTTCTTATTAGGTATCTAGACCAACCCTGGCGCAGGTAAAAGCTGTTGTTGAGTTCATGCAAAAACACCCAGATTTAGCTCATAGAAAGCTCAGGTATGGTGTAAGCCATCAGAAATTTAAAAAATTGTGGATTGAACTATCTAATATTGCTAATTCTATAGATGGAGCTATTAAATCTACTAAAGGTTGGATTAAGGTAAGCATATAACAAAAATAATGTAAATTTGTTTGATGTTTTTATTTTTACTCATAATGTAACAAAAGGTGATTGTATAAAAAACATTTGCATAGGTCTGCCAATCAGTTGTGCTTGTATGGCTGCATTTCGGTTTGAAGGGTGGGAAATGGCAATAAAAATACTGGGTATTTATGGAACTCATAAGGACTAAGCAGTGACAATGTTCTACAAATTAAAATAAATGAGGTAGATTTTATTTATCTTTTAATATTATTAATAAAATAATTTTCTATATATATGGTTATTATTTTACAAATACTTTCAGTTCTGGTCAGATAAAAGGAGAAGTATTATGATTAAGCATAAACAAATAGAAAATGGCAAATTGATGGGTTCACTATCACCTCTAGAACAGAAAATATTAGATTTATGTGAAAACAAAAATCCAGGAAGTAAGTGATAGTTCTAACAAATCGATTAAACTCTATTATTCGTGAAAACAAAACCTCTAATAAATATGTTATTGCATGTTGATTTTCAACTAACTTTAAAAAGGAAGACTTTCACAATGTGTCAATAATTGATGTGTATAATTATGCTGTACATTTTTTAGTTCTGAAACAATTTTAAATTATATAATTACTGTCTATTTATTTGGCCCAATAAATTATATTAAATTATTAGATAATTTAAGTCTTATGTACAACATAGTTCTGATGTTAAGTAAAATGTGTATGTATTGGAGTACTTTGCAGCTTTTTTCATCATTATATTTATATTCACAGGAAGTAAAAAAGGAGTGAAACAAGAGCCCTGTGATGATGATGATGACAATGATTCATTAGATGATATATTTACGAAAGCAGTTGAGAATGACTTTGATAATCAAATGTTTGCAAATGAGGCAGAGGAGAGACAATTAAATACTATGGAAAAATTGGTATGATTAAAAAATATATATTACTATTGTACTGTAAAAATATATATTAATATACAGTACTGTTTTGATATACATATAAAATACATACCGGGAGAATTCAAAATCAATAGCATACTTTTTGTGAATGAAATTGATAATTTTCCCCAAAAAATTAACCATGTTGGGATAAAAAATTACAAAAAATCTTGTAATTTGTCAATCCATCTTTCTTTGAGGATAATGTTCCATTTTCTTCAATCAGTGCTCTTTTAAAGGAGTTAATGATTTTACCTTGTAAATGTTGATATTTAAATTTATTTTTAGGTTGATGTAATGGGACAGCAGGCAACTGCCATGTCTCAAATGGCACAAGCTGCAATGGATAACTCGAAAGCTCTAGAAAGATTAGCAGAAGCTTCACACATTCAAGTATGTATCTGTCTCTATTTACAAAACTTAACTTTTATTTTGATGTTACCGCTTACAAAGAAATTATTATTTTTAATATAAAATATTATTTTATTATCTGATTTTCTAGCACATATTATTTGATTATAATACTAAAACTGTTTCAATTTAAATATTCAACGTAATTCCTCCGTGCTAGAAAACATAAATAACAAACCAACTTAATTCGAGTGGTACAATGGTAGGGTCGCTTTTACCGCGTTGAATATATTCTCGACGGGATGCAGGGATGTAGAATATTATAAATGCCTATGTCTACCCAATTTTTTTTGTCAATAGATGAAAATAGAATGCTAACCCCGCCAGTGCTATCGGTATACACTGGCGGGGCACCAGTAACAGATGATAGATAACGATGAATCGAGATGGTTTCTAGGGGAAACCATGTTGAGGTAGACTATTAGGGAATATTGTCAGTAAAAAGAGTGTTAGATCTCATACTAACCGTTCCTTTTCCCCCAACTACTCTATTAGGGGTTATAATAGTGAGCATATTCATTTTTTACTTATGACTATCTGAATGTTTCAGGCACTAGCGGTAGATAGGCTGGCAACTACATTCGAGACGATCAGTTCTTCAATTCATGATGTGCGGAATGCTTTATTAGGCATTGATTACACTATGAAGAGATGTTACTCTACGACGGCAACACAGCCACGTCAGAACACCAATATATTCAGCTAAGACTGCGGTTCATATTTTGGAATTTAATTATGTACTACGTTTGGTAGATTTTTATTTATTTGAAGACATTCATATGAAATTTTATTTGCAAAAAATACACTGCATTTTTATTTAAAAATACTGTACATATATTTTTTTACTTAACTATTTAAGCTGTGGGCTAATGTGTGGGCTGTGGCATAGTATTTGGTCCCAACATGTCTGCCATTATGCCAAGATAAAGTGAATAAATTTAATAATATTTAAATATATCTATAATACTGCGTTATTATAGCAACATAATAATTATATAAATGCGTGGATAAGTAAAAAATGTGTTATTTTAAATATATTATTTAAATCATTTCAATTTTATTTATATTAATCTATAATAATTATTATAATCTACGAGGTGTGACAATTAAGTAATGAGACTGATTCCATAAAAACCGTATATTTCAAAATTATTCTACAACTCTGCCATCCCCTTCAAAGTAGTCCCCTTGGGCAGCTATACAATGATTCCAGCGCGTTTTCCATGCTTCGTAACATTTCTGGAACGCTTCGACTGGGATGTCCGCGATTACCCTCGTCACGGCCGCCTGGATGTCCTCAATGGACTCAAAATGGGTTCCTTTGACCACCGATTTTGTTCTAGGGAATAAAAAAAAGTCACAGGGTGACATATCGGGCGAATAAGGCGGTTGTTGCAACACGGCGATCCCTTTAGAGGCCAAATACTGGGACACGCTGAGGGCGGTGTGGCACGGCGCGTTGTCGTGATGAAGGATCCAGATACAAGCGATGTTTGGGCGCACCCTGTTGACTCGTTTTCGCAATCTTTCGAGTACTTGGCGATAGTAGACTTGATTTACGGTTTGCCCTGGTGGAACAAATTCTTTGTGAACGATTCCACGGCTATCAAAAAAGGCAATAATCATCATTTTCACCTTCGACTTGCTCATGCGAGCTTTTTTCGGGCGGGGGGCGTGCAGAGACAACCATTGTGAGCTTTGGCGTTTGGTCTCCGGGTCGTATTGAAAAAACCAGCTCTCATCGCCTGTAATAACTCGATCAAGCAGCGCAAAATTTTATCGCGACGCGTTGCTCTTGATTTCGTTTTTCCATTTTCGTGACGAGCACCACGAACACACGTTTACTCAACACGACACAGCAGGTGAACTAAACAAATATATCAATGGAGAGAGGAAGGATGCGGGAGAAGGGAAAGGGAATTTCAAGGTCGTAGGGTTACCACAATCGCGGCAATATAATCAGTCTCATTACTTAATTGTCACACCTCGTATATAATAATCGATGGCGATGAGTCACGACCCGCCTCAGCCTACTTGGCACCCCTTGGACCTCGGCGCCCGACCATACTACTTCCTTTTATCTTCAACGCTTGAAGACTGCTGAATGACGCTAACCATGAATTCATTCATCATTAGTAGGTAAATTTTCATCGTATTAGATATAACGAGACAGCAAATGTTGTTGGACCCTTCTTTCTCATAATGTTAAACGCCAAACCAAGTCTTGTTCTTTCTCATGCTTGCATTATATAGTTAGATTTATAACCAGAGTAGTAGCGCTTGGAAAGACACTTCTAGAAGGATCATCTGTACCAACGAAAGTGAAAAAATCGTTTGTATATGAAATAATTATTTAATTTCATAAAATACAGTATCACATTAATATAAAATTAATCATTTATAAAGTCAGACTCATACAGAATTTAATATAAATTCTCTAAATAAACATATAATTTTGGGTAACTACATTATGTTTGTACATTATAGTATAAATATAACACAACCTCATGGCAATTAATAAAATATAATGTTTGATAATAACCAATGTTACTATGGCATGTCAATGGCATTTCAATTTTATGAAAGATGATAAATTAGTTTTCGACATATTAAACACGCCTAGTGTTTTTGCATTTGTTGTAGTTATGGATTCCATTCCTAAGTTTGATGTATGGAATTAAAGCGAATAATTTGAACACAATTTTTGTACTGTGCAACCTACACAGTGGCAATTTTACATATAAATTGTTCATTGCGTAGGCTTCCATGTCTATGATTTTCTTCGAGTTGTTTGAAATTAATGCGACATATTATAGAATTTTTATCGCCACATAAAATACCAACTCTTAGCATATTTGATTGGTCAGCTACGATATACGAAAATAACAATTTGTCTTATTCTAAAACTATCGTAAAATGGAATGTACATAATGGTATTTCAATATGTCAAATATAAGAAAATGATTATATATAGGCAGATTTGTGTTAAATATAAATTTGGTAATAAAAAGGAACATAGAATAGAAAAATAATTAGTAATACATTAAAAGCTATATTTACAGCGAGCATTTAATATCTTACACAGTGTGAAATCGAAATCATAAGCATCCTTTTAAAGTTGTTCATGCCATAGTGCAGCAATGTCGAAATCATCTCTAATAAGCAATTGAATTTTTTTAAATATTTCTGAAGGATTATTTAAAAACTAATAGTGAATTATTACTAGTTTTGGAAAGAAAACATTTATTGCCAACAACAAAAAGAGTTACATTAATTATCAATAGAAAAGAAATAAAAAAAAATACAAAAATTTAATGGATAATTTTGAAGATTCTTTTAAATTTTATTTTGCTACACTTTGGTATGCCTTAATATGAACATTCTTAAGTAAGTGCTCTAACAGTGAAAGTAATAATTTTCCTAAAATAAAAACACGTCAAAACAATTAAGGCTCGAATTGAATCGACACGGCGTTTATCGTTTAACTTACCTTAGGAAAAAATGAATACTTAAAAAAGCATACTTAGGAAAAAATTTCTAAATTTACTGACAGAATATTCTTTAAAAGGATTCCGATTTTACTCTGTATGTTACTTAATGAATATAGAAATGCAATATACAATAAAAAATACATCAGTAGAATAAAAATGTTAAATATCTGCTCAGATCGCTACTCCTTATGTATATACCATGATTATTAATAAATTATGTTTTCAAAAACACAATTTTTCGTATAAAAATACACTTTGTACATACAAGTTTATACATTTAAATAGTAGGCACATCATGGCGTGTCATTTTCTATATCACAAAGTCATATAATTATAAATAATGCGTAGTTGTTTTCTCTAAAAGTTATTTACCTAGCTGCCTATATAAAAGTATAGTAAAATGCGACAAATCTACGCAAAAATTCCATTTATAGTATGAAAATTCATTTATAGAATATGTAATTTTTTTCAATTTTGTGTCTAAATTAAAATATTTATTTAAAATAAGAAAATTCCAATAAAGTTTAAAAAATACTACAAAAATAAAGAAAGAAGTTCGATGACATGAGGTTTCATGTGAAATGCCTAATTTATACGAAATATTAAAAATAGGTGCAGTATAGTAACATGTGATCCCAGACCTACTTAAATCCTGGCGACACAATATTTGTTCGAATTCAGAAACATTTATATCAATATTGCATTACCAAGTAAAATTGATATTCAAGATCTTGTTTAAAATTAGAAAACAACTAAATAGATATTGTAATGTTTTGCAATGATTGAAGTCAATAAATTTGTACTTGATGACATACCTAATGTCTTTGTCTTTGTTCTAAGTTTAGCGAAACTATTTATGTTACGGATCAATGAGAACATAATTCTGATTCAATTCTATTATATATTTAATTAATATTAGTCCTCAGAACAATAATTTACTGAAATTACTGTAAAACTAGTCACAGTGGCCTTTCAGCATCGATCCCATAATTGCTAAGTATAAACGGTAGAGAGACCATAACTGACGATTATTTATTAGCTCCTTTTAGCTATTGGAATAGCATTCTAGTTAAGTCCAGTTCCAGTAAGATAAAAGTCAACGCGAAAGATGTCTCTCACAGTCACTCTATTATTATATTCATACTATTACGTCTTCGTTATCAAGAACCAACTGATTCATGTTCACGTAGTCTGGATGTTGCGAGAACACATCTACTAGTTTACCGAAGGTCGGTCGTTGATCTGGATTGTACGCCCAGCAGTCGAGCATCACGTTATAAATCTCGTCCGGGCAATTCTCTGGTCGTTCCAATCGTTTGCCACTCTCTACTAATTGTATCGCCTAGAATATAAGAAGTAAAGGATTAAAAATAGGTTTAAATTTTTATACCATTGCATAGATAGAACTTCTACTGGATACACACTGGTTTATTATGATGTGTGTTTTCATGTCCAAATTAGTAGACTGACTCCATAGAAATTTGGCATAGATATAGCCTGAACGTTAAGGAAATATATCACGCATCAAACTAGATGTGGCTCTCCAAAACTATAGGCAGTCGAAGTCATTGGTATTATCTAATCCTATTAACATTATAATTACGTGCACCTTTGTAAAATGTTAAAAATTATGAAATTTGACATATCTTGGGCTTAACTCATTAATTATCACGAGATAATTAATGGGACGTCCCAGAGAACCATTCGGGATGGGATAACTTAGAGTCGATATCTACACTAATTTGCATGAATTTTTTAGTAACTATTAAATACCGTAATTACCTCAGTGCCCCTCATTTCGCCGTACGGTTGTTTCCCAAAAGAGAACATCTCCCAAAGCGTAATGCCGTAGCTCCATACGTCGCTCGCGTGGCTGAAGGTCCCGTAGTTGTACGATTCGGGCGCGTACCATTTTATCGGCCATTTGCCGCCGCGGCTAGCCTTGTAGTAAGAACTGTCGGTCGACAGAGCGCGTGATAGACCGAAGTCACTTATTTTTGCTTGATGTCTGTAAAAATTATTTAATCTAGTTTAAGCTTACGACATTTAAGAAGGGAAATACAATTCCACGAAAATATATTTCCCAAAAACATGAGACATGGAGTATCTATATGGAAGTCATATTTTGGTTAGAATGTTATGAGTAAACATTGTAATTGTGTTTTATTTTAATTGGCAGACAAAAACTGACTTGTATTTGATAATAATCCTCGTACGCCAATGTAAAAAATACAAATGTTCTAAAATCAAAGTGGTCAGAAGGTTGGAAGGTAGTGGTGGGTGTACCTGGTGGCGAGCAGTATATTCCTGGCAGCGAGATCCCGGTGCACGAAGCGGCGGTGCTCGAGGTAGCGCATGCCGGCCGCCACCTGGCACGCCCACAGCCGCAGCTCGTACGCCGGGCTCACCTTGTCCGGGTGCCGCAGCAGGTACTCTAGCAGCGAGCCCAGCGGCACCAGTTCTTGCACCATAGCCAATGGTGGGCCCTGATCACAATGATACATTTTATGAGCTTACTAGTTTTACCAGAAATTTCGTTTGACCAGAAGAATTATTAACTGGGATAAAAAAAAAAAAAAAACTTGTCTTTCTTCATTCTATGTACCGTGTGAAGTTTTCATAGCGATTAAAGAACAACTGCATTAAATTGAGGGTGATTTTCATAGTTGTGTTCTTGAATGTTCAACATAAAATCTGGTGTATTTTTTATATTCATGAGCTATCTATAAGTGGTTTCATCGAGCTCTTGTTCCTCATGTATGAAATTGTGAGCAAGAGCTAGGTTATTATATTTTTTCAACCTTCACATTTATACTAGTCATGTAATGGTTTAATGAACCTTTTCAAAATAGGAACACTGTACTAAACACATGCTAAATTAATATAACAATTTAATCTAGACAGAAATAGTGGTACACTAAAGCCAAGATTTACGTGCAACTTAGTATCTCTGTACTGACCAACGAGATCCCAATAAGCCGCACGATGCAGTGGTGGCGCAAGGCCATCATCAGCTTGGCCTCGGCTAGGAACTCGTCCTTGTTGGTGTCGGTATGCTGTACGTGCAGCGTTTTCACGGCGACGTCGCGCTGGTTTCCGGGCGGTCCGTACTGTCCACGTAGTACCGAGCCGAACTCGCCCTCGCCCAACGCCTCGCCAAGTGTTAGCTCATTCATTGGAATGAATTCTACAAAGGTTATAATAGTACATTACTGCAGCGGCCAGCAGTTGAGGCATTGATGGACGAACGTGCAAATGTGGGCCAAGGCGTAGCCGAGGCACACATACGTGAGTCCATCAATACCTAGTTATGGCCAAGGCTTGTATAGGACTTTTCTCAAACAATGCACGGAAATCAAGACCGATTATAATAAGTTTAATTTAAAGGGAGCTTTTAACCCTCCATTTCAGCAACATCACATCTCACAAGAAATGAAGGTCAGATGTACCAAATGGTAATTTATGTAGATTGTACACTTAATACTCGAAAACAGAATTTTTGGTATCATCATTGATTGTCATCTTGTTCGTTTGATAGAAAAGAATAATTTGTAAATGGTATTTTATAATTTTAAAAAAGAGTGTTACACTCCTAACAATAGTAACATTATTTTTTTTTTATTATTTTTCTGAATTTTTTAATTTCCCCAACAAATTTTACAGGATGTGAGGATATTTCATTTTAATTAAAATCATATTCTTACCTTGTAATGTGGATAGCTGACCATCAGAGTTAATAGATATCTCGTTATAATTCTCTGGCACTATGGCATTGTTTACAGGAACTTTGTATGTGTCATTGTCATCAATGTCGTCATTATTATTTAAGCTATCATTAGCGAAGTCTGAAGAAAAAGACAGATTTCGTGTGAGCAAATCGAACACATTGTTATTTCCAACAGAAGGAATAGGTGGTGAGGTTTGAGACATCTGTTGATCGTTCAAGATATCATGTTTGACTAAGGATAACGTCTGGTTCATGGCTGCTCGACTTGGTGATGGTTTCTTAGTTCGTGGCATTGTGGAAAACTGAAAAAAAAAATGTATTAGATGAGTAAATGAGTAGATTATAGAATTTACGATAACAATTTTATACTCAAGCTTCAATAAATATTTTTTTTTTATAGATGAAGAGGACTGGCACCAAATTGTCCTTTCTTATACCTCTTCTTATTTGAATAGTAACATTATACAGAAAATTAGATAAAAAGAATGTTTTATGAATGTATTGACACTGACTCAGAGAATTACTTAGTAATTTTTTTTTTCTACTTTATCAGTAAAATTAATTACTTTTTCTATTTCTTTGAGAAGTATAGTACTAGATAAAAAATTAAATATACCTTATAGTATATTGGAAGCGAAAATCAACGCGATCATTTAGGTAAACTGTGATAGCTTCCTGATGCCATTAAGAGCCAACGGACTAAACCGTCTTTCAAAAAAAGCATTCACGCTCACTTTTTTACTTTATCCAAGCAGTAAGTACTTTATATTATTCTCAATTTCGTGTATAATATAGTATATATCATATATGTGTAAGTATATTTGTTATTCATATATATTTATTCGTTTATATATGTAATTTTAGTATGTATGTATATCAATAATTAGTAGAACCGCATTCGAGTATTCTGACACTTCCCTATGGTTGACTGGGAAAGAATGCTTTTAGCATTAAGTCCGCCATGTACACATATTTGTACTAATGAATAAATAAATAAATAAATAATTATCAAGACCGGTGTAACCGGTCGAGACAATTTACGTAAATTGTATCATAGTTTATTTAAATGATCGCATTAATTTCCGTCTCTTATAAATCATAAAACATGCAGCACAAAAGTTTAAAGGGTAATATGTAACATGTTTACAAATAAGCTGTTTAGGTTTTCATAACTTATCGTAATGGAAAGGAAATCACCTCGGGTAATGGTGGTTTAGGCTTTGGTGGGACCGGTACTTGTAGACGTGTGGGCAGGCCATCTGGCACGGCGCTGTAGTGCTCTACAAGCCGTTCCAGAGACTCCAAGTATGGCCCATCATCTATGAACAGCCACTCGTTCTGTGCAATATAATACACGACTTTATGTCAGTCATACTATATATATATTACTTATATATAACATATACAGTATTTAAATAGAGAACAATTAATGTACAAAACAACAAAACACTAGTTTGACGTCACAACGAGTGAAGTGCAACAAGTGACCTTTGTAATATTGTATTTCTTTAAAATCAAAATAGAATGCTATATCTGTTAACTATTCTGACGAAGTTTAACTCAGACGAGGCTCAACATGAAAAACTAGGAAAAAAGGAATTCATTCTTATTTATTATCTTTCAATTGTGTCCCGTCAGCGTAATCCGGCAGTGACGGCGGGATACCATTCCATAACACGCATTAAAATTAATGTGTATAACAACGTGAAACCCAATTATTACCCCCCCCCCCCCCCACTTGTTATATAATATTATAATTATAATAATAGTGTACTCATATAATACAGAACACAAAAATTATTATACTTGTGAACATGAGGATGTCATCGTTTGATCATGATAAAACTTAAGAGTGCTTTTAGCGTCTAGAAAAATACAAGCTTTACTTTACAATAATAAGAACTGACCTCTTTTCTTATAATGAAGTTGTATGGTGTGTTCTCGCTGAGCATGGTGAGCACGTAGGCGCCGGTGTGCCGTTCGCTGTACCGCAGTAGGAAGGCACCCTCGCACGCGTGCTCGTGTAGCGTCCGCACCGCCTCGTCGCGGTTCAGCGTGCCGTGGTACCACTGGTTCCGCGACGTCTTCGGCGTGGCCGGCACGTGGTTCTCTGAAGGAACGTCATATTGCATGCTTAAAAACACAGATCGATGGCAAGTTTGTCAATTACTTTTTAATTGATTTGATGAGTGACAGCAGAGTTTCTTACAGATTACTCTCGACAAATAATAACAATCTCCACCCAACAGTAGATTCATAAAGGGACAATTTAAAAGAGCTTTTTATATAAGTAATAGACTTATAATAATCTTTATTGTACTCGACTTCTTAGAGGAGGTTCTCGGTTTTTTTTTTTTATGGGTGAAAATACTATGGTAACCCCGCCTACGCTAACGGAATACGCTGGCGGAGCACCAGTGAAGGGTGATAGATGAGAATGAAAACAGGCCAGTTAGCCCATCATGATGATTTAAACAGGAATTAACCATGATAGTTTCCAGGGAGAACCGCGAGGAGGTCGACCTGGTTGAGTATATTGCTAGCAATAGGGTTCTCAATCTCCATTACTAACAATCCCTTTCCCGCCGGAGGTTCTCAGTTTCATTGTATTTATTTATTTAGGCTGAACATAGCCCTCTTTCTATTAGGGGTGTTTTGCCAGTAATTGCCACACTTAGGCAGAATGGAAGACACAGTTAGGCCTTGAAGATGTTTTAAGAAGGACACTGCTGACCATCTCTCGACCATTAAATTCCTTTAGTCGTCTCTTACGACACCCGCGGGAAAGGAAGGGGGTAGCCTATTCTATGTCGGGACACTACGGCAATGTATTCTCTCATTTGCCATTAAATAAATAAATAAAATGCACAAGTACTTACTTAACAATTGATAGCACTCCGTGTGTCCGTGATGTTTTGCTAAATCGGCGGGCGTTTCTTGTGCTAGTGTCCTTGGATGCGCTGGCGCTTTCAATTTGAGCAACACCTACAAATAATATTTATATAATAATAATAACATATAATAAGTTATACAACACTCATGTCTGTTTATCATAATTTTTATTAATATACATATATATACAGTAATCTGTATTTTGCAATTTATTTATATAAGTCGATAAATATTTTGCAAATGATATCTACGTTGCGATTTTCTGACTATAAATAATTTATTAATTAAATTGTTCACAATATATTATCTAATTTATATTTTAACAGCGTTTGCCTATATCTAATTATTACTTCAGTAAATGTTCACCACTAGTCAAGTACTTATCTGCCTTCACTTAATCGCCATAAGTGATAAGCGGCAGTGAAAAAAGTATATTTATACTCACAAGTGTAATCTCTAATGGACAAGTGCATGTATTTAAATTCACGTATAGACCACACACAATGCTCCCTAGATATTTGTTGCGCTGGAATATAGTCCTTATTCGAATTATCTAAATGGATATATTTGCATATCTGAACGTTCGACTCTAGGATTGATACTGTTCGACTATGTACGAGCGCTTGTCGGATATTTTTTAAGGATGATAATATTGTTTCACAAAAAAAAAAGTGATAATGACAAAATCAGTTATTTTCTTTTAAAAACTAAACTACTGAAACGAATTTGATAAAATTTTTATATTATCTGTAACCTGTATATCCATTCGGATTAAAAAAAATATCTCTCATATCGGTTTACAATTCATTGATCTGTTTATCGCGCTTGCTTGCGTTTTATTCTTTGACATATGGACGTAGGTCTATCGCCCGGCAGGAATTGAAAGGCTATAGTTCTGTAATTAAAGAATGAAGTATTTACCTCGATACATTTGATGTGACCCCTCTGTGCAGCGTCATGCAGCGGCACTTTACCGGTGACCGCGTGCCTCATCTGGTAGTTCGCATTGCCTTTCGTTATAAGCAGCTCAGTTGTACTTGGTAGATTGTTCTGACACGTGTACTATAAACAAATTAATATAATGTTAGGCTATATTTTTATAATTAATATATCGATTTTTAATTTTATCAGAGGGAGACTACAAGTCGTTTTCTTGGGTATCTCTGACCCATTCGTGTTTCTACCGTGGAGCAGTTGTTTGCATTGCTGTGTTTCGGTTTGAAGGGTGGGATATGGCAGTGAATTTACAGGGTACAGAGGTATAACACCCGAGTCCGGGGAGAAAGGGATTGTTAGTAATGGAGACTAAGAATCCCATTGCCAGCAATATACCCAACCAGGTCGATCTCCTCGCGGATCTCCCTGGAAACAATCATGGTTAATTCCTGATGAATTCATCATGATGGGCTAACTGGCCTGTTTTCATTCTCATCTATCACTCTTCTGGTGCTCCGCCAGCGTATCCCTTTAGCACAGGCGGGGTTACCATACCATTATTATAAAAAAAAAAAACACCCGAGTCCGAGTCCCGAGTCGAGGCATGGCAACGCATAGGAGATATCATAAGCGAGACAGTATGTTATGTTCATGGTATTGCTCATGTTTGTAGACGAGGGTTAACCATTTTCCTCCAGGTGGGCCGTCAACTTGTTTGCCATTCTAAGTTGCATAAAAAAAAATTATTCGATTTTTAAAATTATTAAAAACGTGTGTTCGTATTTATCTGTTCGAAAAATATTGTTCCTAATGTTTCTTTTATGTTTTGTAATGTATAATTTTTACTAATAACTCTATGATCTCATTATTTACATACATGTAACGGTGTGTATCCAAACGAGTCCCGCACGTTCACGGTGGCTCCACTTTCTATAAGTTTCGCCAGGATGTTGTCCCGGCCAGCGCGGGCGGCTATGTGTACGGCCGTCTGCCCGTCCTGGTTCTTCGCGTCCCTGCTGTGATATCCGCATGCCAAGAGTTGCGAGACTACGTTGTAGTTGCCAGCCTCGGTCGCTCTAAAAATACACACGAGCTATATTATAAAAAATAAAACCGATTAGGGGTGAGATGAACTCACACGCTAAAGTTTCGTATATAAAAATTATTTTCAATTTATATAATAAATTGTTGCTGAGATGAGATGAGAACAAACAGACGGACAACGCTTTAAGAGTTCCTTTGCACTTTTTTTGGCACAGAACCCTAAAGACATGTAGTTATGACAGTAAGCATGCAGCAAAAGATGTACCCATGCAAGTATATCAGTATTTGATATAGTCAACGTCATATTTTTTTAACGCGAAAAAGTAGGAAGGAGTTTAGAATTTTTTTTTAAATACAAATAAATTATGATTATTAACAAGGAATTGTTTTGATATTATTAAATAATTATCCTATTTTTGTAACTATAATTGAGTTACAAAATTTATTTGTTGAATGCGTAACGTTTCACGAATTAAGATCGTGTGTACTGAAATAAAATCATAATTGATGTCTGTTTGTTATGTTTGTTACCGCATCACGAGATAAATCCATCCATTTAGCCAGAATGAATTTCAAAGAAAATTTATAATTAGCTCACGTTGGTGTGGATACAGAAACTTTCAAACTAATTGTACGTCAGGAGTCGTCATGTTTAAATTAAGAAGGCTAGCAGACATAAGGGTCCTAGGCAAAGAAGAAGTAGTAGTACAAACTCTGAGAGCCTTAGGGCTATTTACATTAATTAAAAATAATAAAATTACTTTATATAAACAAACAAACGTAAATTAAATTATTACTTATATATTTATAGCTGAGCACGGACCTCATTTTGCAGGTATTGCGACGCACGCACACATACGCTCATTTTGGATGAAACTGTTACAATACGAATTGTTTTTTTTTCTTTTTTAATTTTATATACATATAAATATTGTGTGTAGTTTCGTTGTTATAATTCTTAATATATGATTTTTTTAACCCCTGTGTGGGTGTAGTCGCATATTTCTGTAGAATAAAGTTTCTTTCTTTCCTTCTTTTTTCTTCTTATTTATACATTTACATTAAATATAAACTTATAAGGTAAGTATAATATATTATACTAAATCAATTAATGATTTTCATTTTATAAAAAAAAATTGTGGGTGTCAGAGTGTCACAAAACCATGTCCTTGTTGTTCTATAAATTTATTAAAACCACAGTTAAGTAATTGACAATTTATTAGAAATAATAAGTTTTCATTGTGATAATCTTATTACAAATCAATTAGTAGTTAGTTAACATACAACAGAATGCTGTGTGGTCTTGAACATATTAATGTTTGCTATACAAACAAGTAGGCAACAACAGTGTATGAACGTAATAATTATAGTGACTCATTAGATAAACAATGATTCATCTGTTGCCAAACACAGATGTCTTGAACAAATCGTAAATAGTTGTTACAATGGTGTTCGTGCTCTGTTCACAAGAATAAAAACAGCGCGTGTATATAGATAGAGTATATAGACTTATGAGTATGTGTAAGAAATGTGGAAATATACATCTAAGGGGGAAATGTTACTAGCAACCTAGCGTAGCTGCAGTTGTGTAAATATTTTAAATGCAGAAAGATATTCTGCCTTTTGACTTTTACTACGTATATTTATAATTATTAAATATTATTTAAATTTTGAATTTCGCAAAATGTATAATTTAATTTGAAACAGTCATTGTGATTCGTTTAACAGTTTCGATGTATTACTACAATATTTTTTGAGAAGATGAATACACAATTTATTAAATTAGGTGCCAGTTTTTTTTTTTAATACCTACACTAACAGCTTATTTTAATAAAATGAAATTCTGTACTTTGGTCAGCGCGCCACTCGAGAATGTCCATCTAGGATTGATTCGACAAATTTTTAGTCTATACTAATGTTATAAAGAGGAAATATTTATTGAAATAAACGCATAAACTACTTAACCGATTTTATAAAATTTTCGACTTATAGACCTATATTATCAGCTACTAATAATAATATAGGAGATATATTCTTTCCTAACTAACCGTGCGACGCCGGGGCAAATCGCTAGTTTATAACAATAAAGATATATACAGAAAGAAAATAAAATGGAATTTGGACTGGTCAATGTCTGTTAGGTCAGCTATAAATAATACATCATTACTACTCAATATATATTTAAATTAATTTATATAATATTTTTAAATAATAAAGAATATAAATATTCAAGATAGAGAGAATATCATTTACTGAGTGAACAGGAAATATTAAATGTCTGTAATAACAATTATATAGTAGTTAGGTATGTACATTAGTAATCACATCAGAACTTACGCACAAGTGGTTAACTAATTAACATTGTTTTAAATTTAATCGAAGTACATTTGTTATTTCAATCAGAGTTTGCTGCTATGTATTTCTTCTACTCGTTGTATTGTTGTGTATCAAATGTTGAAATATATGGCTCTCAACGAATAAAGATCAACAATATTTATTGAATAAATACATTACTGAACAATGCATTGGTCAGGAAATTGTCAATAAACCCGTTACAGTTACGATGTTGCGAGTAGTTGATTTGTGCATCATTCGTAAAAAAATTTTTGTTTTTAGGGTTCCATACAAGCAGTAAAATTTGTACAATGTATAATTTGTACCTATAATGTGAATATTTAATTCGTGTCTACTTGCAGCTAATAACGACTTTAATTGCGTGCTAGTTTAAATTTTCGCTTAACTCTCCATTGATGTAAAACATCGACAAAATAACTAAAACGAATAAGGCGGTAAGCTCACCTCTAAATGTGTGCATATCGAATGTTCGCCACAATGATAACAGTTGATAAATGTCTCTGACAACCTCAATAGTTAGATAGAAAAAAGTAGAAAGAAATATAAATTAGTATTTTATGTTAGCTTTAATATAAAATTTGTTGATAGCTTGGGTTCTTACATTATTTTATTTATCGTAGGGATCTCTATTTTTTTTTTAATAATATACAGTCTATGTTACTCGCTGGTAATGTAAATTTCTATAGTTGAAAGAATTTTTAAAATATTTTTTGAGTCTATCCATTACAAACAAACATACAAAAAATCATACATTAGTATGGATTATGTAAGTTCCATTCTAGTTGGCATTTTAGGAGTTACGCAATAATAATAGCTGCCTACCATCTTTAATAGGCATATCACTGGAATGTTGACAACCATGCTCATTGAAACAATAAACAGTAAAGAGAAAATTAGGGCCAATTTATGTGGCCCTAGTCTCAATAGAACATCCTTCTTCAAGAAATCTCGCTATAAACTATTATAATAGGTCATTTGAATGTAAACAAATTAATATTAACAAGCCTATTGTTTTTTTCTTTTTATGTTATTTCTTTTTCATATTTTATTCCTTATAGAATTAAGGTATAAATAATTACTCTGTTGGCTATTATAAATTGAAGATCTAAAATGTCTACTTTGGGGGGAAAGGGATTATTAGTGATGGAGACAGAATCCCATTGCTAGCAATATACCCAACCTGGTCGACCTCCTCGTGGTTCTCCCTGGAAACTATCATGGTTAATTCCTGATGAATTCATCATGATAGGCTAACTGGCCTGTTTTCATTCTCATCTATCACCCTTCACTGGTGCTAAGCCAGTGTATCCCGTTAGTGCAGGCGGGGATACCATACTATTTTAACCCATCAAAAAAAATGTCTACTTTTTGATGGGATTACATTATTACAAAACAATTCATATTCACATATATAGATATGGAATGTTCAATACATATATATTAAATATATTCCTGTAGAATGAGTTTTTTGCTATACAATCACATCAATAGTTTGGTTCCCAAGCTGGAACACCCTAATGAGTAGCCAGGAAACAAATATTTGAGGGTACCACTCAGAATAGCCAAAGTCGAGCCAATTCAGAATAGTTTGTATTCTGAATTGTCAAAGCAACATGCCCACAACTGCACCACAGGCGTCTTCAAAGAGGAGTTATAATGAAATTACACTATATATATATAAAAACTAGTCAAACCAAATCTTGAGTTTGAATTACATTTCAACCAGAATGAATGCATTGTGTAAATAAATATTTGCTAAAATTTAAAATATTTATTAAAAAGCAAAAATAGTAGTAACAAGAATCAAGAAATTGTTATATAAATTCACTTTATAATATTGAATGTTCTTGCAACTTGTAAATTTTAAGATTTTCTACATGGAAATTGATACCCGTATAGATCTCAATTGTTTTTTTAGCAGAGTCAAAATATATTGAACTTGGTTCTCATTTCACACTTATATTTTTGAAGAGATATCATTACTTTTTGTAGAGAAATTATTAGTATTCATCATTAATACATTGTTATTTTTTAAATTTCTTTATTTTTCTATGTTTATCCTGTAGTTTTTTTTTGATGAATTTTCCATATTTTGTTTTTTTTTTTTACTTTTTAATTACACCCCTGTTACACCTCCCATGCTGTGCAATAGCATCGGGGAGAATTCAGCCAGCATAAAACCTAACCACATTAGTCTTAACTATACAATATAACACAAGAAAAAAAAATTATAATCACCTATATTTATTATAATCCTTATTTCATACATACAGAGATACATATTCTAATAAAACTCACGAGTTAAAGGATAAAAGATAAGAATTATAATTACTTACCTGTGTAAAAGGTTGGTAGTTCCCTGAGTACGTGATTCATGAGGTGGTGGTTGTCCTTTGCAGACAACTGACAGACGAGTAACAAGTCCATTTGAATCACCACGATAATGTTGAATAAGAGTGTCTAGCCCGTGCACAGTTGTGTGTTCCTCAATGCTGAAGAAAGCATCTTCGCCATGCCTTCTAATTTGATAATGCACTACCTCACCCTTAAATAAAAAAAAAATACTTATTTCAATAGTGTTCACACTTTACATTATATATAAATAAGCATAATTCATTTATTTTTATTAATTAGTGAATTAATAATAAAATTATATTAAAGGAAATAAAATAACAATTTGTGGGTAATGCTCAGTACATAAATAGAAACAAAACATTCTTTTATCAAAATCTTTGCAATGATATTATTAAAGATTATATTAATAATTAAATATATTTATAATATTTATTATTTTAAACAACTGGCGAAAATATTAAGTACAATAGAATATAACTTCACACTAAACAGGAAAACATGTAAGAGGTTATAAAAACTGACCTGATGAAGGACAGAGAGTACATAGTCTCCTGGTGAAGTGTTGCTTTCACGTACTAAGAAAACCCCATCCTCACCTTCTGAAATCATCATTTGATAAAATATTATAGATTATTTACAAACAAGTGTTTCTTTATCAAGGTTGTAAAACTTGTAAACAATAAATTAACCTTCTTTTAATAACTTCTCAGCAGCTTCTCGTGATATTTTTCCGTGGAACCAGTTCACGTTATCCTCTCTGTTCATCCTCAACAAAAAAGAGTTTGTCTGAAAAGTTAAATGTAAACTTGTTCAACGAGTATCACACGACCAAAAGATTTCCTTTGAACATTTCATACGACGGAAGTGGCAATTTATATGACAACGCGTTTCAATTGAATCAAAATAAAACTAAATAATATTTAATAAACAATTCCACATTTTCAAGCTAATGGTAATTTGATAAGTTTTAAAAATAATATCCATACGTATCAAACTTTAAAAACTATTCGCCATATTTCGTTCTATTTCTTTCTAACATGAACAAAGTGTACATTGGACTAACCAAACAAATGAATATAACTACAACTGAATATTGTTTTCCCAGTTCACTGATAAGAAAGTATAAATGCTAAAGTGAGACGGAAAGAATCATAGGTCTACTTTAAATAGTTACATTTTGTATATTGCAAACGTCACAAGCCTGGATCAAATAAGAAACTGATAAGAATTTATTCGTGATTCATTTAATTTATATATATTATTTTATTAATTATTATATTCCAAATAATATTTAATTAAATTACTTCTTACCTTTAGTAATATGAATGACGTCATGGTTGTTATCATGTTATCCAACTTTAGTTCACACAAAAATGTTTATTTTACCTACATAGTTTTACAAGTAGAAGAAATTAGCAAATTTTTTTAAGTTTTCATGAATACACATGTTGTTATGAATAATGTTATATTATTTCGCACAATATATTTTATAAAATAATCGCGGTGAGCGGAGTGCGTCTATAACCAGCAACCGGCAGACAGGCGCGGTATCCCCGACTCTGCCTTCCAGCGAATGACTCATAGCAAGGTCAATTCCGAGAAATGAATCACCAACGTATTCAGCTCCACAAAGGTGTATGTAACATGCATTCCCTCACAGCTTTGCCTCTTTGTTATTTTGTAAATAAGGCCATAAATATTACCTGTATATACCTACTACACAAGTGTGTATAGGTATGTACATTTCTACTGCAAATTCCTATACTTTTTACTAAACTTTTATTTTATATATATTATACTTAATATTTATTGATTCAGTAGGTAAATAAGTAAGTAGGCAGTAAAAATGTATCTAGTCTAACCAGTTTTAATCTCCAAGTTTTAAGATAACGCATCAACCTATCTCTGCTTACAAATGAGTGCAATCTATCATCATATATATCTTTATCATCATTGTTTTATTTATTCCACTGGGAGCATATTTTTTATACGCTCCTGTGGAAAGCGATAACCATTCTTTGTAACTGGATGGTGCTAGTCTAACTGCCGAGATCATCAGAAAAAACATTTACATTGTAATCGTAATACGTACTATACTTATCACAGAAGTAATAGTATTATTTTTTATAATAAATTCTACACTATGGTCATTACAGAATATATTGTGCCATCTCTCACATTGTATCGCCTCTCAAAGGCGATGGCGATAAGGTTTATAGGTTTTCCCATATGGACTATACTCGTGGATTACAATGCCATGCAAAATTATGGTCCCGTGCAATTGCCAAATCGTTATAATTATTATAAAAAAGATGTCAGACATTGATACGTGTGATTATAAATGTTGATAGGTAACTGATTAGATAACAATTTACAACAAAATTTTAGAATTGATGCTTCCGTAGACATAAACTAAAATAGCTGACTTAGTTTACACAAGATCTTACAACTTTTTGTAGTGAAAAAACTAGTACGTTGCAAGATTGTACATTTTTAAATTTTATGTTTTTGATGAGATTAGGCTTCTTGCTGGCTTAATATTATTAATAATAATCGATTTATACAAGTTCAATTACAATTAATAAACGTTGATAATTATTTAAGTATACAAATTTCGTAAGTATTTTTTATGCAACTTAGAATGGCAAACAAGCTGACGGTCCACCTAATGAAAAGCGGTAACCGACACCTATAAACATGAGCAGTACCATGGACATAACAGAGTATACTGTTTCGTCTATGATACCCCCCTTGCGTTGCCATTTCTGAGGACTCTGGTGTTATTCCTCTGTACCCTGTAAATTTTGTGCCATATCCCACGCTTCAAACTGAAACACAGCCATGCACACAACTGTTTCACGGTAGAAACATAAATGGGACAGAGGTGCCCAAGCAAACGATTGTTGTACAAAGTCTCCCTTTGGTAAGTATCTAGGACATCTAGGTACTTAATAATTTTCTGTAACAAATTTTCTTTAAAAACAAAGTACTGACAATATTAAAACTTAAATTTTGATAGGTAGATACTAAAGACTGGTTTTCTCTGTCTTATTTTGATGGTAATGGTAAACGTATTAACTTATGACTAATCATTTAACATTAATGAATTGTGGTCGACGAAAGAACTACTAATCTAATTATCTGATGATTAATTTATTGTACATTAAATTTGGTACGCGACATCGTAGGTTTTTTTTATAACGCAGGGGGTTTTTATAACGTTTGCGCTAACGCAGGGGGCAAACGAGCATGCGGCTCACCTGATGGTAAGTGACTACCGCCGCTCATGATCATCCACAACATCAAAGGCATTGCAGATGTGCTGCCGTCCTTTTAAAAAGGAATATGCTCTTTTCTTGAAGGTTACGATGTAGGTATGCGGAGATTTTAAAATAGATTATAAAACTCCAGATTTTTGGGTGATAATTGAATGATACCTTGTTTATTTTATCTATTAACGCTTAATCTAGTCTTCTAATGTAGTCACTGTTAAGTTTTAAAAATTCCTTCTTCTCGTTGACCCGGATTAGGTCACATCATAAAAATAGTTCTTATTTTGGCCGTATATTATAAGGTAAGGCCGTATATTACATGCATATAATAATTGCAGATTTTACTCATAAATTTAAAACTCATAAGTTTTATAAAAATAAAATTCCAAGAACTTTAAACAGGGTTTCCTTTATTAATATATATGGAAATGTACCTATACTTAACACAGTAATCAGTTTCAAATCAGTGAGTTATTCTTTTAAGTATCCGACAACTATGTAACCAGTATTTTTAAAGACCTTTTCTTTTAATTTAATTATTTTCTGGATTAAGTTCTGGAATGTTATGTGTCTTGAGCCAGAAACAAGAAAATTACGTTCCTCTTGCGCCACCAAGCTTTTAGTTAATGATAGTATATGATTATGATACGCAAAAGAATCAAATTTACTAACATAGTCCGAAGGATAAGCAAGTTGAAGTGGCTATGGGCTGGTCACATAACTCGAAGAACCGACAACCGACAGGAAATAGATGGAATGACGTCCTCAAATGCACAGGGAGTCAGTAGATGCAGGTGGTTCAGGACCGTTTCTTATGGCAGTCTATGGGGGAGATCTATGTTCAACAGTAGTCAGATAATTGCTGAGACGATGATGATGATGATTGTAGTAATTATCGTAGTTATCTGAAAACGCAGTGTAAGTACCTATCACATATGATGCTTTATTTACTATTGAACTATGCCATATACGAGTACTTATAAAAAAGCAACCTTAATTACAAATGGATAAAATTATAAGGAAATATTTATCAAACGCACGATGGAACATCTTTAGAAAGTATTTACTATAATATTCGTACTTCGCAAACGACTGGAGGGACCAGTCACGAAGTTTGTTTACCTCACGACTGCAATGTTTATTTACTTTCATTCGTCTTTAGAATTCTAGTACTGCCTTTGCTTACTTTACAGATTGCATTTACATGAATACTCATCATCTATCATCTATTTTGCTAATGTCACATCTTATAAAGCTATTGATAATTTTAAATAAATGTCTGTCTGAATAAATTAGCCCTGCAAATTGATCTAAAAAAAGTATTAATCCATACTGGTACCTAATCATAGGTGGGGTACTAACTGAGATGTATCATTGGCTTGTTTTTTTTTTTTTTTATAAATATTTCTATTAATGCACTAGCTAAAAAAGATAAAGAGATATTAATAATATTTATTTATATGCCTAAAAGGGTGTTTTTTTTTAATCTGGACCCTTCTGGTGAGATATAATGTATGCGAAACTACCCCCTCCCAAAAGATTAAAATATGAGATTTTAAATAATTAATTTCTATTAGTTTATGAGTAAAGTACTAAATTATAATTTATTTGCGTTAAGTAAGTAAAATACTAGTTGTATATTTAAGAAACATGTAATTTACATTAAATACCTATCTTTTTAGGTATCCAGCTTAGATTATATAGATAGAGTGTCTTCATAGAAATGTTTCGAGAAAAGCGGGTCATCTTATCATACAATTTTGTGTGATAAACAGTAATGAGTGTTTCCTTTATAACTCCTATATTAATTTTGTTTTATAATTTTTGCATCTTTTTAATGCATAAAAACTCATTTTATTTATTAAATAATTAAATATAGATATGTCAAGATACATTATATGCGTAAGTATATAGAATAATGATAAAAAACGAGTCAGCTTATTTGACAATTAGCTGATAAAAAGTTGACCCGTTTTTGAGGCTCGATGTTCTATCTATATAATCTGAGGCACTCAGATATACGCAACTATATTTTTATCTTATTTGTCACTTATCGACTAGATAAAGGTTTTTGTGTAGTTACGTTAAAGTTTACATTCGCCATTGAAACATGACTACCGCGAAATATTCACCTACTTATTATCAGATATGTTCATATCGAAGAAGTGTGTTGCACTTGTTAAGCTGAATATGGTGTGGTAATATTACCGTCAAGGCAGCTTGGAGCCGCGGCTGGTTATCCCAGCGGCGCCGCCGCCACCTCGGCGACTCCACGACGCTCTGTCGACGGGCGCAATGAGTCATTCCACTTTCTACCAGCATTGGGTAGCGGTCGATGACACTTCGGGCCTGTTTGCTCCCAATATTCGCACTACTTCTACATGCTTACATGTAGCATGTAGGCTTCATGTGGGTTGTCCACCCGGCTCAGTCATTCACATTCCCTGTGCTAGCTTTTTATTGATCTATTACTTCAGTCAGAGTATACCTGTCTTTGCAGGCATAATTTATACTTGGATAATTCTTTCATACTTACTTAATTTTTTTTCAGTTATTCAAATTTTAAATTGTCATTTATTGTCTTCGAGTGATATGATAGGAGATCGAGTTTGTAGATTGAATATTAAAAAAAAGAAAGCAGTAGGAATAAGCAGAGTTTGTGGAATTAAAGAAGCAATTAGGTATACCATCAAATTTATAATATTTATGCTTTTTTAACAAGTATCCTAATGTAGACAAACATGCATGATATCGAATAGATTTAAAGTCTACAATAGACGCCGCCGGTTTGATTCCTGGCGAATCGTGCTGTTACATAATTTAAGATCATAAGAATATTTACGAGTACGTTCACATATACGCTGGCACCACTCAACGACTATAGTTTATAACGGTTAAGTGTGTACTATTACAAATCGTGTAAAATATATGGCTTCCGGGATACTTCCGGAGAACTTCCTGCTTAGCTCTGTATACGATAGCTGTTTTCACATCCATGGCGTCTAACAGTCTACTGTTATACTGGAAAATTCGGTGTCTGTTTTTTTTTTATAGTTCAAGTTCAGTTTTAATAAGCTCTGTGAAATAAGGATTGACCAATTTAAAATTAGTCTAGAATTGATTATTTATGATATTTATTATCACTCCCATGCAAAGAAAGTAGTACAATGTTTTCAAGATTATGACACAGTGGAAAGAATTATTTTTCATAATAAATGTGTATGTTTCAAAGTCAAAATCCTAAAGTAAAATGCATGGGTATCACAAGAGCTTCTAAAGGACTCTTCACGTGATCACATTTAAAT